CAGATTCGGATTTTCGATGTACATTTTGAAGGTGTTGCTAAAACGTGCTACAGTGGCACCGTCTACAAAGCGATGATCGGCTGCATACGATAACTTCACCTTATTTACCACACAAAACTGAAAATACATTGATTAATGCCACAATAGAAGTCGTTTCCATATTAGAAATCGAATCACACAATCACATCAGATACATCCAGAATATGTTGATTCATCAGATTTTTTACTACGTTCATCGATCACATAAGATAGTTGAATATTCAGGCGGAATAACGTAAAGAATGGCAGTTTGTGCTGCAAAAGTGGTGAAAACTATGCTGATTTTGTGTTCGTTAATTGGAGAGGAGCATTCTAGGTATATGGAAGGTTGGGAATCGTCATTACGACTTCATAAAGTAATCTACTTACACTGTCATCATCAGCAACATGCGGTACACGTTGCATTTTACCGAGTGCAACAATAGCCAATTGCGGTGGAAAGATTATAGGACCAGCGTAAGTTCCACCGATCTGAAATCAACAAAAATCCGAACACACTCAACTGGAATATAACATTATATAAACAATCATGTTTTCTTGAAATATACTCTGAAAAAGTTTGTATCGCAATTAGCTTTATATATCTGTCCAAAATTGTACAAAAATTCAACAAATTGAAAGCTTTTATTATTTGAAAGAAGTCACACTGAAATGCATTTGGAGAAAAAAATCTGAGGCGTCCGTAAGACAATATCGGTGAAACAATACAAAAATGCGTACGGCGCCTATATTCGAGATTGTGAAAGTGCCTCCAGCAAGATCACTCGGAGCAACTGCACCCTTGCGTGCATCTTCCATGAGCCTGTTCAACTCCACACCAATTTCCCAAATATTGCGTTGCTCACAGTTCTTTATATTTGGTACTATTAATCCATCTGGTGTGTCCATTGCCACACAAATATTATGCGAAGCCTATAAAAAGCAATCAAAATATGAATTCATTTCAATAACACAAAACAGTCATTTATTCTAGATATAAATTTAATATTCCGAACTGTATTAAGCAATGACTCCTTTCATAATCGAAAAATTATGAATGCATCCCAGATATGTTATCCGTCGAGAAATCGGTGAAGTTTCAATGAGAAGCAAATCACTGATCTGATAAATTTCAAATAATTTGAAAAATCACACCACATCGGATGTTGCTATTAAGCGGATGGAAAATTAATGAGTAATTGTGAATATGAGTCTTATCGCGACTGCATTGTGTAAGAGCCATACCTAATAACAGCTATACCTTATAAGTAATATTTTCAAGTTTTGCATCAACGGTTGCGTTGATAACTGGAAATTGCCGAAGAGCAAGTGAGTATGCTTTGATGAAAATTGGAGTATACGTCATTTTGATGCCACGATCTTTCGATAATTCTTTCAGTTGGTTACGCATTTCAATTAATTTGTCCATCACGATCTATAAAACTATCATTCATTTCATCTCAGTATGATCTTGAAATTAGACCATTTGAGACGATCACTTTCCAATCTTAAAACCGCTCTGCTATTATCAATTCTTGATTTGATCAATAACTGATACTTCAGTTAGAAATGAAAATCTGTATCAGATTTGTCTAGTTGAGATAACTCAATTTAAAACAATTCAATATCGACGCAAATCATTGAAAATATCATGAAACATCATCATGCTCCAACATTTTTCAGAATGCTCATTTAGCATCTGAGTATCAACCCTGAAATAATCGATTCAAACTCATAATTAGCAATACAAATCTCAAGATTTTAAATAAGAACAGTATTTCTGAGCAGTTCAATTAATCAATAATTTCAATGAAATTTTTTCATGTGCATTCATCAACGAATTATAGTGATCGACGGATTTTCGTTTCTTTAGGTCCATTTCCTTTTAAGAAAATAATGAAGTTAACCTCGTCATTGTAACCAAAATGTGGAATTTTGAGCGCTTCACTCATTGACTTAATCATTGCGCGTGTATAACCACGAATCGGTTTCGTTTCATCAGCTTTCAGAGGTGAAAACTGAAATTAAAATTTCGAAAGACATGGTTTCATAAGCACTAACACAGTTGGGTTTCGCGAAATAATCAACAATTTCTAGTAATCCACATGCTCCTTTTGCTGAAACAACAATCTATGAATAAAACAATCTAAAAATTATAAAATATAAACATTATTATTGATGGAACTGAGAAGTTCTACCATTCGAAAAAACTACAGTACACCGCTAGCAAAGCATACGGATTCATTTGAGTGGTAATATCGATGGCTGATCAGTTAAATCGTTCAATTTTAATCACCTTCTTAGAGGGCGTCGTCACTTTAACTGCCTCTAATGATGGTGTTTGCTTTGCAGAAGGAACCTCTGGAGATACTTCTAAAATTGTAATTAAAACAATACTATTCTATAAAATTATCACCATCATTATTATCGTTGATATGACTCCACGCATAAATTTGTGATGTCATTTGATTAATACACTTATAATAAAACAACTTGACTGGATAACTGTTCATTCATCATCTTATGGAACTATTTTCAAATTTTCATGATGGTTTCGCTTTTGCAAGTTCATCGCACAGAATGAAGCTGTAAAGAGCTGAAAATGAACCTGGTAAGTGTCCAATGAATCTAAGAATATCTTCCTTAAGAACACGACCGTCTTTACCAGTACCATGAACTTTGCTCAGATCAACCTAAATATCGAATTTTAGAAGGATTGGAAAACTCTCTCGACTGGGCGCGTATCTCTATAAGAGATGAAATATAACTGAATATTTATCGGGTCTAGTTGGAAGTCAAAATCAAAATTTACAAAATCGATAATTCAAATAAAGTTCCAAAATATAAAGAGAACAATGAAAACTCTTCAAACTTTGTCGTCAGTTCGAACACCCACTAGCATTAAACAATTTAACAAATGAAACTGTTGGTCTTGTCTTTCTTCAAGTAATAAGAAAAGATCCACAAAAACTCTCAGTTGATAGAAACAAACCACGATTAATACCGAAGTGCCATATTCAATATGATAATAATTAACCTTATGTTCCATTGCGATTCGTCTAACAGCGGGAGCGGCGACTGCCTTTCCAAGAGTTTGAGGTGCCTCTGGTGTACTCGATGATGCACTTTCAGGTTTAGGTGCTTCTTCTGAATGGGCTGCATCAGCAGTTTTATCTTCAACCGTATACATCAATTAAAATGTAAATCTTGACAACACGCCCTATCAATACAAAATAATGTAATACTGCGCGCTACCTAAGGCGACAGCTGTACCTGGTCAAATTCAAATGAAAGAAATTCAAGCAATTCAGTCCACATTATTGTTCATAAAATATCGAATGCAAAATCTGTTTGAAGCTACATTCTTTACATTAATTGTAATTTATATGACTATAACATATCCATTACGTTGTCATACATTTGAATGGAAAGCAAGTACTAAAAACATAAAGATATAGAAATGTTCTCAATGAGCAATTTAGCTAGCTGGCTTATTTTCGGGAGGTTATGCGAACAAAAAACAAATGTGAGAAAAGTAATGGACAGAAAAAAAGAATAAAAGTCTGCACTGAAACAAATCCACTCATCATACGCATTTAATCAAATGCACAAACTTAGAAATTCAATTGATGATAGCACTACCTTACTTCGCTTGTAACATAATACTTCAAAAATTTGTTAAACAGTGTATCAGTGAGATGTTCGTTTTTTTAAGAGCAAGTCATAAACGCCATCAAATAGATGGTAAACGATTCATAAGTAACCATCGCAAAAGGCGATTTGATGCGGCGAAACTGTTCCAATTCTCTTCACTAATTTGATTGAGTCAATTTTTTTGCGAAACATACACAAAATAGACGCAAACGATGAACAAATCAAAAGTAAATTTCTCCCTCTCAAAAACTTCATTTGATGTCGAATCGCTCAAAACAACAATTCATTGAATGCGCTATTCGAGCAGAAATTACTGCCACTTCTTTGATTTGCTTCACTTCCCATGGGAAATCAATTGAATGCAGTGATGAAAGATTCCAATATACGCGTATATCAAATGCTGCTTAGTCACCGCTAGCAAATTAGTTCACCCCATTTCATTCTAGATTGATGTTTGTTCATTTCTTCTCAGAAAAACTCAAAATGGCATCGTCAATCTCAATTTTAAAAATAAGAACAACGAGACAGCAGCATATGCTTATTTTAATAAGAAAATGAATGAGAATAATCAAAAGAAAAGTTATTCGTAAGATTAACTTTCGTAAGTGGCGCACATCAATCTGATGCTATTAACAAGAAAGAATACATAAGTAACACCGAGCAAAAATTCTTCTTTTGATACTTCTCTGAAGATTTTCTGCTAGAAGCATACGCTGATCAAAAGCAAGAGTGGGCGTACATAGGTTATGAGATAACGTTATTGCATTATGTAGTGTGACAATTCAGCAGAAGTTGTTTCGTTAGATAAAACGACTCTGAATACGATGGACGCAATAAAAATTTAAAATTATGGAATTCATCGAGATGAATTTTAATGAATGTTTCAAAAGCAGTACCAACGAAATAAAATCCCACAAGTTAATGGACACTGACCGAAACTAATCAACGTTAAAAAGTTGCCTCGTCAGTGGCCACTGAAAAAAAAAAGATCGGTTCTTCTTTAACTCTACCACAATTACAATTGCAAAAGTAAATGACACAAGACTCAAAGATACGATTTAATTACCAGATGCGGAAACGTCTTCAGATCCAGCGTCATCTTCTACCTCGATATCGATTAGCGTACTTCCTACTTTAGCAACGTCATCTACATTGTAATAACTGAAATGCAGCCCAGGTTGAGTGAATCACTTTTATTTCATTTACAGCAATTTATTCTGTCTTTACACTGATTCATAAATTCCAAACGGAATGAACTACATATCAAAACGTTAATGACTGTACCCAAAAGAAAATCTATTGTATGATAGGTGTCAATTTTAGTAAAATGAACAAATGACTGATCAGTTGGCAAACTGTTGGACACAATCAACTCTAATAGTCTTATCAAGTTTTGCAAACTGACTGATAACGCATCTGATGGTCAAGTTTTAATACAGTGTCGTAAATGAACAGAGCATTTATACTTGCAAACAATCACGCATTAAAACGATCTGATATGAAATTTACATCAATTCTAGAAAAAAAAGATCTTTTTTTCTGCGGATCAACGTTCAAATCGGCATGCAAAAATACAGATGATTAATAGTGAAACTTTTATATGTGAACATAAAGACAAATTCAATTTGTCGATGACTCAATGAAAAAATCAATACTAAAATTATACCAAAACTTCATTCGAATACTTTAATGGAGAAAATAAGATGGAAGATCGTTTAATTCATAATGTTCAAGGACGATAATCACAGAAGAATATTGAAATTAGAAATAAGAAATCATAAAAACGAACAGTTTCTTAATGATACCATCATAGCGACTCGTGATCGTAACAGTTGCTTTATCACTTTGCACTTCGCAAAGATCATCAAACTGTGAAACACGATCACCCACTTTCACATGCCATTCTTTCACCTTAATATTTTAAGAAACCTTCATTGTTCATCTGATTTATTGACTTATTGAACTGCGATTATTAATTATCCGATAACGATCAGATATTCGAGAAAAAACATGGAAATGATACCTGAACTTCTGCGATACCCTCGCCAATATCTGAGAGTTTGAATTGGACGGTTGGAAGAAATCGCGCTGAAATATGTATCGTTTAATGAAACAAAGATAATTGAATATTTTACTCAAAAAATAAAATTCATATTAAAACTAAAAATACCACTTAAAACTTGAAACTTTTACTCCACACACGAAAAAAAGCATTCATATTTACAAAAAGAGGAGCACTTCACTCACACAATGTTGCGTGAATGAATCGAGTGCATTTCAGAGAACGAGTTGTTGAACCAAAAAGTTGACGGCATAACAAAGAGGCCATCTGAAACGGAGTTTATGACCAAGTTATTTAGTGCTTTCATGAAATATGACTCAAGCAACAGCGTTCGATTCAAAAAATTCAGCAAATCACTGCACATTTCCAACAGTTGGATGACATTAACTGAAAAACTGAAAGGAAATGAATTTGAACCATTTAAGGCAAAGATAATAATGCGAACAATACGCCCACAAATTTGAATAATAAACAATAACATGTGAAGTGTAGAAATCGCAAACGAAACAAAATCTGACCGATGTCTGAAATTAACAAAGCGTACAATTATAAGACACGTCAGCATCACATCATCAAACTGTTCATCACCAAAGTTGTCTTCATAAAGTTCGAATATTACATGAAGAGCAGAGATCACAAGAAAGAAAACTCAGAGAACATCATAAAAGTGATCACTTTCACGCCACTACAATTGAACTTGCTCGCCTAATGCCTCTGATCAATAGTGTGCGTATTGGGATGCGTTGAAAGATGATTAAAAACTAGTTTACAACATTACACATCTTTGCTATATTACAAAAGCGAAACAAATATACCATTTAAAACTGATCAACAAAGTCAACACACTGTGTAAATGAAAGAATATCGAGATCAAAGAAACTGCTATTGGATGAACTCAGTTTTTCAGACACACTAAACTGGCCAAGAAAATAGAAAAGAGTAATGCTGAATTTCATTCTTTCGAAAATCAAATCCAGCAACTGACTGAAAATATCATTCAATGGCGTAATCTACAACTGAACAACCATTGTTACTGTTCCTTCGAAAATCATTGATTAGTCTGAAAAAAAAAGAAAAGCTAAAGAAGACATCTAATATACAACGTATATGCTACATAAAATATAATTAAAATGAATTCGAATAGAAAGCAATTGTTGCATGAATCCTAATTAAAAAACAATCTTCAACACAAGCACTTAATTGAATTTATTACTACACAACCGACAAACTTCTGAAACAGAGCATTCTCCGTAGCGCTCAACCGCTTTTAAATCACCGAAATGATCTTATTCTCTATCGCATCTCTTCGGAACAATTACTTTCATCGTATGAACAGTTAGCTACAATTAACTCCGCCTTAAAGGAACAAAACACTCATTTGGTAACCTTCAAATCTTATACGAGTGTAGCAGAATACAAGAGTGCATTTTAGACCTTTATGGGCCTAAAACTGGTCACACGCCTAAGAGTAAGTCCCAATTGAAACGTGAACCGAATTCGAGTAGATAAAGATAAAAGGTACTCATGTGAACTACTACACATTATGAGGTTATAGACTGCTCACTTATTTGCTGTGAGAAATGAAAAACTCCACACTGTCACTCAATCGTTTTTCGTGCGTGATTTTATTTGAAGTGCAACAGTTCAGTTAACTGCCCATGTTCTGCAACCAATGGTTTCGCCAGAATTGTTTCCGGGAATGGAGGGCGCAAAAAGATCCGGTCCAAAAAATAGCTGAATTTTGGGATGGATTTTTCTGCGTTTATTTTTTTTCCTTTTCGCTCCTTTCATTCTTTCCCTCACCTTTCCATTTCCTTTCGCCCGCTCTCCCCCCTAGAAGGAAGAGCGCCCTCACCCTGCGCCTTGCCCTCTCCTGGCTATGGCAAAGATCGCTATTTTCGTGTTTCGAGAGTGATTGAGAATAACCAGCGTTATGTATAATCATTCTGTGGGCGTTTTGTTGTTAAGGCTGGATTCATAAACTATTATATACCAATGTCTTGTTCGATGGGGAAACAAGCTTCTGCCATATGCAGCAAGTAGGCTTTATTGTGTGAAACAATAATTTATCGGAACGGTGAAATCGTCAAATTTCAAGCTGATGATATTTGAGTCAAAACCACGAAACTGACGAATGTATTATGAGATACGACCAAAAAGTGGTCCTGAGCATTATGCAAAATGAATAAGGCGATGCAAAAAAATACATAAAAGTAGCGATAGTAAGTTTGAACGCCTGTTATATCAAGTCACTGCAATTACCATTAATCACTACTTGATTTTTGAGTTTTGTGAAGCTTTAACACAACTAACTTCTCCTCAGGATATGACAACTGATCGAAGTCGAAAAAAAGCAAATATCAAAGTTCAACTTTTCAAAATGACTGCTAGCAAAAAGTGTTTGACCATAGCACAGAACTCGCCTTTATACGAATCGTACTTCAATCAGTCAATCTTGACTACAACTGATATGTATTAGAGCTGTGCTTTGCGCATAAACATGGTCATGATGATGCCTCTTCATAATAAGCCATCCCATCTGAACTCATTTAAGCAGAAACATCTCACATTAGTCATGCTCTACTCTCGGCGGACAACACATTTTATATATTACAATAATGCAGAAGTTTCTTAACTATGCTCCATTGATATCACTGGATAACTAAAACAAAATCTGTCGTTCACATGGCTGCATCATGACGACAAATGGCGTTCATTAACATGGGATAAGCTTTCATTAACTCAAAAAACTCATCGAGACTCACTGGATGAAATGAGATAAGGAATGATTTATTAAGAGCATCACGTTGGCGGATTTTGGATCAACTAAACTTACTTCTCGAACGATACAAGTGTAATGTAATGACTGACCAAACACCGTGAACTGAAAATACAATAGAATAACTTATATGCTATAAGTCATTCCCTCACCAACTGACTATTATTTCTCAATGAACCTCGTCAGTGTAAATGTGTTTGCAACTAAAGAAATGTTTCTTTGCAACTAAAGAAATACTGTTTGCAACTAAAGAAGTACGAATGCAAAACAGACAATAAAACACATGCAACTAAACAGTTTGCAACTAAAGAAGTACGAATGCAAAACAGACAATAAAACACAATCATTTTAATTACAAAGAATTTCACTTTTAATCTGTTTATATTGTTCGACGGAAATTATCGATTACTAAACCACGACCAACACCCCTCTTACTATTAGTTGATCCAGTTAGCACTAAGAACCATTAAAAAATTTTTAGTAACAATAACTGTTTGGATGATTAAAAATTTTTGGACCATCACATGATCGAAGTTCTTCGATGACGTTTTTCCGACACTGGTTCTGATGCTCTCGCGCTATCTGCCTCCTTTTTTTTTTTTAGCAGATCGTCATTTCTCGCTGAGATCCATGCAACCATAACTCCCTCTTCATTCGACGATCTATCACGTTTTGGTGATAGATGGAACAAAAATCTAAATATTCACTCAATGATAGTTTTTTTTTTCTGAAGAATTCTTCGCCAGCATCGATAGGGACACTACCGTCATCAAACGCGCATTTTGAGTACATTCATGGAAGAAGCATATGAATAATTCAATTAAAGAGGATTCGTAAAGCTCTTCAATACCTTCAGTTTCTCCTTACAAGAAGCTGACCTAAAATAAGCGAAATAACCCACAAATCTACAGAGCCTTCGTTCAGATTCACTTCGCATATATCACAATTTGCAAATGAAAAACGATCGATTATTGCTAATTTACAAAAAATTGCGATTTAACAGGCATGAAGTCAATGATTGTATATCCTCAGAAGCATTCCTTAGTTGTTAAATCGCCCAGTGCTTCCCCAACGTTCAGTAATCAATTTTACTGGAAGCCAATCTACATTGAATTATATAATTGTTTGGCACAACGGACGTTTATGAATGCTCATACGGCTTCAAAATTAATCCAAGCAAATTAATTCGACCATTTGTTCATTACTTACATTCGGGACTATCAAATGACGATTTTATTTATTATTTTATCAGCAATTACATTGACTCATTACGAGTTTGTGCCTCACCAATATCACATTGATCAGAAATTACAAAAAAACAAATGACGATTATAACATGAGAATGTTTAAATACTCCAAATGCTTAACAGTGAAATTTTTCATCAGAGCTCGATAAAACATTGTAGTTTGCTCAATCACGAATGTACACATTTAACCAGTACAGTTATGATAAGTGATTATCACGGTTTTAATAAAGATTCTGACTGAAGTGCGAAGAAGAGTAGAAGTCAACAAAAATTGGAAATAACAACAAAAACAAAGTTACCTCAACTTCCTGCTCTAATGCGAATAGAAGTTGGTGGAATTTGAATATGGAAATATGGAAATTGTAACAAACAATGGACCATTCCACGGAGAATTATGCTTTTTTGTAACGTTCTTTTTCGCAAACTTCTGGTCGAAAATAAAACAAACGTTAGTACTCATAACATACTACGTAATAAAGACTTGAGCAATATCATCATGTTCGTAAGTTCTTTTCAGGAATGTATCGCTGACACGTATACCGGATATTGACTGCAAACAAATTAGCTGGTTACGTGAACAATTTAATAACTATTCTATAGCTGGCTACTTCTAGCATCAGTAATACTACAATGCGTATTCCAAGATAACATCGAAAAGCCTTCATCTTTCTTGCATTTTGCATTCTATACTCACAATAGCAGTCGCCGTATTGATAAAAAATAAGCTCAAAAGACCAACAAAACTCTTTCGCCTGGGAATACAGAGTGTGTTCATTTCGTCGTAATTTGAAAAGATAACGATTTTTACTGATATGGAAACCAAAATTTTCAATGAACGAATGAAGGCAAAGGAGCAGCAATAACTAATTTTATAATGTGTCGAATGACAAACCTTGGTTTCATTGACAAAACGATAGAGTTACAACAAAATTGAAAGGCATGAAAGGTATATTAGAAGAACCTGCAATCCAGGTGTAATAGGTAGTATTTCAAGGGTAAAATCAACAGTGCTGTTGGGTGGTAGCTGGCCCAGCTGAACACCACTTGTTGAGCACAATACTAGTGCTGGTTGCAGACTACTGTCTAAAGTCAATACGAGATCCAATGAACGTTCACTAAAACCGAAATCATACACAATACAGAATCAGATTTGATTAACATTAAAAAGATTTTTACTGATCGATGTGAACAACGCAACGTCAAAATTCTAATGAAATCGACATACCTACAGTTGTGCAGCCGACAAACTACTTCGAAAGTTTGTCGAACTTTTGCAGTGGCTGGTATTTTTTCGATTGTTAATCGGAGATCACCATATCCCGGGGCCTTAAAATGACTGAAAGGTGACTGACATACGAAAATAAAGGCATAAAATTTTCGTAAGATCACCTGCACTATGCATCCATTTCGTTGCTTCCTTAACATTAAACTTCACGTATCAATCACTCCTTGATAAAACAGTTAAAACTTTCACACAACAGAACAAAAACCAATTTTTTGGTAGCTTATGGCCATTCACAATAAGCTTATTATCACAACGGATAATATACTTTCCGTTCTGTATTTTTTCGAATAACAACTTGCTACCCACAGATACGATGAAAGATGTTTTTAAATGTTGAATATTAATTGTTGTAAACGAAGTCAACCATTCTTTGAAGAGCACTTGTCTGCAAGCGTCCTCGTTCACCCATGCTTGTCCTCCACACCATATCTAATTTACCTATAGATGTGCCTCCCCTAAAATTTAACAGTTTTTCGAGGTGAAGAAGATCAGAATCCGATGCAATCTCTCATCGTGAACTGCTTATTAAATACATATTTTGTGCAATGTTTCGTGACATGTGTTAATCAATGAACAAATTAATGAGACGAATTGCACGGAAGAATAGTTTTAACGAAGAAAAATAAAATCACGAATTTTTTACCTATAATAATTCAGCGAGTAGTCAGCAGTTTTCGGCTTCAAGCAATACAAGTACTGACGTATATCCTTCGGATTCAAATAGAACTGCTGCTTACTTATTTCACTCCTTCAAAAGACGACATTTATCAAACTACTTCGAATATAGTTGGGACCACCCACAAATAAGGCAATCGATACGCACAGAGAAGTTTGGGCATGCTCGCTGTTAACGCCGAAAAAACTGCTCCGATGAGATGCGTTCCGAAATACTAGCTTTGATTTCTGTCAAGTTCACCTTTCTGAAATCCCAATCTCTCACTCTACTCCAGTGGTCCTCACGCTCCGGTGCTCCATTACCCCGTTCGACGGTTTGGTATGCCGTCATTACCCCCTCCTCCCACTACAATAAGTTATTGTTTATACGTATAACGTCAGAATCAATTTTCCGACCCCCTCTATTACTCTTTGACACCCCCAAAATAGGTAATTTCTCACTCATGGGGACTCCTGCTCTATTCGAATAACCGGAAGTTTTGAGTTTCAGTGAGCATATTACAGGATCTGCGAATAGCTCGCCTCAAATGCTGTTGTTTTCTCTAGGAACAAAATCGCCTCAAATCAATAAGACTACCCAATTTTGTCACTGTACCTCAGCGAACTGTTCGAGGCCACTCGCTAAAGTGCGCTTCAGAACGAGGCTGGAACGTGTCAAGAAAAAACATGCAATAAATGAAAAACTTGTGGATGGGGAAGAAAGGCTGCATTTTGTCCTCTCATAAGTCTAAATCTGATCGTGAGCGCAAGTTTAAGCCTAAATTCGAATCTGACTCGTGAGTATAAAGCTGAAATTTAATTCTGTTTACTTCTACTCCCATAGAAGTTTTGAACGCTGCTGCTTTCTCGAGGAGCACCAAGTTATTGAAATGAATCGTATCGTACAGCAAAAAATACCGCTAACAGCACATGTCTACGACCCCCATTACAACAAACAATTGCACAAACCAATGGAGTATCTTTCAAATAGATAAAGAAAGAAGAGAAAACAAACGAGAACGGCAGGGTTATTTCAGTCGAAGTATAAAAGTCAGAAGGCTCCAGAATAACTTTCTCTAAAATCATCGGAGTGGCAGATGTGTTCTGAATTTGTGCTTCCAAATAGACATCGTTGTTCTGCAATAAAAACTTCACTCCGAATAGCCCTTATCATACTGACTATGACTTGATTACAATTCTATATTCACGCTGCAACAATCTTCTGATCGAACCATTTCTGATATTACACATTAACTGCAGATGAAACCTTATTTGATCCAACTTAAAGCATTTTCGTATACTCACTGAACCGGTCTGCAAGGTTTTTTGTTCCACTTGAGAATTGAGAAATACGTAGTACTCTGCTCGGAAAATGCTCAGAACTTGGAGAATGCACAGTATCCAACTTCAAAAATTGAATGTGTAATACTTGATGGATAGGAATGGAAACCGACTGGCATAACAACGAAGACATGTGACAAATGCTCATGTCATCAAGGTTATTGACTTTTTGTCTACTCACGTCATTGTTCGATTCATGCGAAATTTTCCTCCAGAAGTTCTATCATCTTTGGTGGGATTTTAAAGAACATATCTACTCTTGAAATACCGAAAAACATCAAAAATATTAGCTCAAAAATAAGCAAAAAACTTGACGAGAAGTTGGCCGTTGAAATGGTGAATAAAACAAACAGTTTAGCCATAGCATGCAACTATAGTTGCTATCGATAACGAATTTCATTCATCTACAAACAGAGCATATCCAATTTCTATCACTGCATAAGATACGGTCGATAATTTTCAAATGCACATATGTTCACAAAAATTACAGTAACAAGAATGTACATAGGGAAATATAACACAAAATTACCACAAAAGCAAATAAGGAAATACTTGATTGGAGTATGAAAACATGACACACACATAAGCATAGCACAAAGAAAGGGATTAAATACAACTTCCACATACAACTCACCAGATTATCCTGGAATTTGTTTCATGAATGTTGTTGGACGAATGAAACGAACGGCCAATTGTTGAAGCATGCAACACAGTTGAATGAATATATAATTCATTTTACCAGAATATATTTTCAATTTAAAAAAACAACCAAAAATCCAACACAACAAACATACACTAAAACTACATTTATTTTGATGGAACCGTACTTGAGGATGCTACTGAACGCCTTTGGATGGAACTACGTATTTAAGTGATATGATTACAGCCATCCAGACGGTTTGTTATTCGAAGAAATCAAAACCCGTTTCAATTTGCTGGCTACTTCCTTGTCATTATCGAACAATGAAAGGGGCAAAACTCATGCACAAACAAAAACAATCAAATCTGTATTACACTTTGTATGCAAAAGCTGTGAAGCATAACTACAGGAGGATAAGAGCGATAAGGCATTCGACATTATCCTCTAAACTTCATCAAAATGACACTTTTTTTGTTCCAATTCAATTTTCATAACAAGCATTCATCAGCAAGCGAATATAATCACCACTAAACATCTACTGCAACAGTCAAACAATACAAATAATTTCCTACAACAACTTTTTCTGAACCTTTTAAATATGAACATGAAAACAATTCTTTCCGTCTACGACGGAAAACCCTTCCTAAAACGAATCTATTTAAACGAAATAGAGATATTTGTAGGACAACTTCGCGTGAAAAAGCACTGTGGGTAAAATCCGTAATATGCTTTATATATTTACCTCGCTATACAAAAAAAGTATTTATGCATTGATGAACAAGATTGTTATCACACACACACACACCTGTATTTTCTTGAAAACAGGCCCACCAACCTCCACTTTTAGCATCTTTTGGAAGATGGCTTTTATTTAAGGAAAGCATAAATTTAATGAGGAGAGGTGGTGAAGCCTTATATATCTGCAGGATTTTCACTGCAAGATTGCTTGCATCTCCCACGAATTGGCACAATCACCACTAAAAACACTACTACTGAAAATTTTCGCAGCTTTGTGAGAGAATTTTATTGAAGGAGATTCATATTCCAGAGAATACGACAATCATATTGCTGTTCTTACCGCAAACACCAACATATCACACGAATATTCATACTTCACAGATATTTGAATTCAAAATGTGTTGCATCATGCATGAATCGAAAATCTCATCGTAAATGGCAAGAATCGATACTTCAAAAAATGCAGTGAAACTGATCGATGATAGTGACTATTTTTAAGGCTGAATCGAAGTTTCTGTTAGAAACCAATACCCTCAAATGGGAGCATAGTGTCAAACGATGGCCAAATGACTATATACAATGTAAATAGTCTTACTGAAACTGTAAAACAGACAAAGGTGCGTTTGCTTTCCATGCTTGAATTCATCAATCTTTGATTCAATGACTGAAATCAGTTAATTGGCTCACCTCAGCATTGTAAAATTTAGTCCTAACATCAATTGGCTTTGTGACTGGAAATTTAAAATATTTTCGAAGATGCATTTTCTCATCACTGGACGTTTTGTACGACACTGTACACACTAATCTGAAAAATTGAACGAATTTTTGCAAATCTTGAAAATCATTCGAAAAAAAGTGGCACAAGAATACAACAAGCTTCGAGCCGAGCTGTGAACGAATAAGCAAGATTTTCTTGCATGTGTCACGCTTTAAACACGCTAAATACTATTCTCAGTGCAGCTACCTATTATGTCTTTTAAGAATTGATATTAAACACACAATATTTATGAAAAAATCAGTGAGCACAATGGAAGACTTCGCAGCCGTCACAGCAAATCACTTGGTGAATTTATTGGAACTCAATTTCAAATTGAATGTTTTGAAACAACAGAGGTTTCTTTTCGAAAGAAGTAATCATCATGAGAGTTTCAGTGAATCGCAAGCGAAACAAAACCCAAAAGATAAGCCGTTATTAGAGAGGAGAGAATGATAAATGCCATATTGCAGTAAATGAAGTAGTATAACTACAGACATAAGTAGACAACAAATCAGGTGAGAAGCACACTTTTACATGCGATTACAGAATGAGTAATCAATGCAGTAACTCAATTAATATGCTCAATTAATAGACGCGTTGCCTAGACACACTCGCTTTTTTAGAATTCTATGTGAAGGCTTGTTCAAACATTATAAGAGATAAATTAAGATGGCTTTAAATTTCGCTTTTTAAACGTTGAGCATAGAACTAGTGATAGCGTCCGAGTGAAATTTCATGTCAATCGAATTCGACCGACATGGAATTTCATCATTCTGAGAGTCGGAATTCCGACCGAAATTGTTGCATTTTTCAGGCCGACTGTCGGTCAGATGCCACTGGGTAGAATCAATACGACCCAATATTGCAAATAAATACACTAACATATGTTGTCCAATTTCTTTGATTTCATGACTGATCACTTCACCGAGTATTTGTCCTGATTGCAAGGTCGCATTTGCATCTTGTAGCTTCGAATGCAGTGCAACACGCTGATTTGTCGTTTGCAAATCAGTCTGTAGCTGACCAATCATTCAATCAATTGCTTAGTTGAATCACTTCATCATAACCAGAATTTGTTCTTTAACGCATAATGAGAATGAAGTTTGCTGTAGATTCGACCAATGCCAAAACTATGCTGTGGATTCGAGCAAATGAGACAAATAAAGTAATACATTCGAAGAAAAATGCAAATTTGATGAAACGATCACTTACTTGAATGCAGATTTCAGCAGCACATTGAGTGCTGTTGTTCTGAACGCTTACATAAAACGTGAACGTTTCACCCAAATAAATATTACTGAAATTGTACATGATTCATCAATATGTGAATTTTCAGAAACAGATCAACATTCAGCACATAAATATTCAAAACGCCAAATACTTCTCTCTAAAATTATCGATTTCGAAGATAATTATCACTCTGAAATTCTAAACTGAAAGAAATCGCACAACATGCACTCTGCAATACACAAAATACTGCATCAGCAACACATTCGGCTTTCATTTTCCCACTTCAGGCATAAGAGAAACTTTGTGAACCAATTAACTGAGAGAAGGAAAAGTAGAATCAAAGAAAATTTTAAAAAGAAACAGAAAAATGATCTGAAGAAAGTTTAAAAAACGAACTCAAAGATCTGCGGTGCCATCAGATACTCACCGATCGGCTCATCGGCAGACTCCTGACCTGTTAGTCGACATACTGCTGAACCGATCAATTCACTCATCGAGTCGGCTGGATCAATCGGCAAACATACCGCATCGTAAAGCTTTGGTCGTGCTAAACGCATCACTAAAACATTAACTTTAAGTGCACTTTCTCAAAGAATTGCACGGAAAAAACTTTTTCAAAATGAACAGAACTGCAAAAAGGATACATTAGGTGCTTTCGAATTTATCACCGATTTCTCATTAGACATTAAATATTTTACATCTAAGCTTCATGCAGTTTGGCATTAAATGAAGATTAAATATAAGAGGGGTATGTAGCCAGCGCTAGTCACTCATATAAAAGATGGAGTGCGTAACAGTGGAAATGATATTTCGGAAGTCTCGTGAGTTCGTTTACGATCAATTATATAGTTTTACTCCATCTAATTGCTGGCATTACAAAGTGGTCTTGAGGACGACCCCAACCTCTCAGATAAATGAGGCGGATAGCATCAGGTACGGCATCCGGCTTAAAAAGTGTATTGTCAAGTCAGACATGCGAAGCGGAATTGAAGCAAATTCCACACTTAACCAGTCGAGATTGTGCATATTGAAATGGTGAAATCCCCAACGGTTAAAACAGAGAGAAAAGTAAGAATATACAGTGTAATTCCACTTGTTAGTATTTTTTGCGCTTGGGAAAGACCTGACACCGTAACACTAATTCGTTTTCTGACTATCCACGTTATACTTGACTAAAAGCGAATACACTGAAATAAAATGAACCTTTCAGCACAAGTAACTGTTCACGACTCGTTTCAGTCATACTTCTGAATTCCAGTACAATATGACCAGGTAATTAGCACTAACTCTGAAACGAAAACAAGCATACATATTCCATAAAATCAACTGGCGAACGACAACAAGCATTCATTTCGTCATGAACCAACAACCAATCACTACAGCTGTGAATTCGAACAGCCAAGATGTGTGCACTGAAACACAAAGAATTTGCTACTGCAGCTGTCCACTACCTAATTAACAATTTAAAGCTGAATGAACAACTGTATGAAATGACCCATAACAAGTTGCTACATGTGCACTTCCCGGTATCAGCTTAAAATTCTAGTCTATTTCGACCATCACTCAAATATACATCCTTGGTTGTCGATCAGTTACACCCACAACTCATAAGATCTTATGATTTCCGATAATTCTGATGTACTCTGAGTGGGATATCCGAGGGCACAGTAATCGAACTTTTCATGTCAATAAGAATCCATCAGACTTCCAAACATTCAAACGGGATTACTCAAACTAAAGTAATCGATGGAAGATATTCAGATTAAAGTGACCGATAAAGAGAACCACCGCTTAAGAAGTTATTTCTCCTTCTTTCACCACCTTCAGTCGGTGCTGAAAGCCAACTGAATGAAGTGAATATTTTTCACCGATGAGACGGATCATCGACTTGTTTGATTCGAACACTACCGATGACAACCACTGCTGGATTTGTTGAACAAGAGTAGGACGAACAAAAAAAACCAAAATTCGAGATATTTCAATGAAATTTTTGGATTAATAACTCAATATCAATACAGATTTGTGGAGTGCTTAACCTGCACTGTGGAGCACTAGAAAACAAAAAATTTATAACAATTCTTCTCCTTTACAATAACGGAACACAAATATTCAAAACGTACCAACACGCAAAACAAAAACAACACATCATATAGTCGCCGCACAACATTCTTATAAATAATCTTTTAAAACAAATCTAAAATTCAATAAGGAAATCGCACATACCGACCGATCGTTACCAGAGGCCATCAAAAAATTTGTGCTCTATGTTACGCTTATAACAGAAAAACGATCAAATGAAATATCGTCGCGATAAAATGTCTTTTTTCATCAGTTATCGTGGTCAACCAAACAGAGCCGCCTCACCATCAATCATAATAACATTCCTTCTTCAGAGAAATTGTAACATCAGTTATAGATTAGATCACCAGATTCAGTTCAACAACAAAACAAAACACAACTATAATTATAATAATATCAATCATTTGCACACCGGACTGCAGGAGAGTGATGAATTATTAAAATGTTTTGCGTTGAGACATATTTAAACATCCTTTTATTATTCTTAGCCAATATTATCAACGGATAAAATTACATCATTAACAATGAAATAACCAGGATGAATACAACCAGACCACTTAAAAAAAAAGTGATACTGGCCTCTCGATTAATTTGACGAATAACTTTCACATTCAGAGTTGCTTCAAATTTCATGTAAACTTAACTGTTCTTTCGCAAAAATATTTCAGTGAGATTGAAGAGTTTCGCGGACAATCGTCAACCACATATCCTAACTGATCTTTGATTTTAACCCATTCGTTCTAGCTTTTCCTCTCGACGAAAAAAAGGAGTAATAAGCAGCACATAGTCCGAGTCCCGCACATGGTGGCAACGAAAGAGATGAGATAGAAGCATTAAATGTAATAGCATAACAAGCAACGAATGCACAAGTATATAGCGACCGACGGCAGGCGACTTCTTCATTACCAATGAGATGTGCTTGTCTCTATGCCTCAACCGTCTTCTTCTCGATCTCGTTGACCGTTGCTTCGGCCGATTCATCCGCTACTTCTGCGTCTTTTGCATTCTCTTTCTCCTGTTCGTGATCATGATCATGATCATGCTCGTGATCATGATCCTCTTTGCATTCACCACCAACTTTTGACTCGTTCTTCGACGCTTCATCGAAATCACCAACCAAATCTCAATTTACAATTCAAAATGTTACCACTGAAATGGCTGCTGAATCACACACATTCTACTGAATAAAGTGACAATTCAACGGCGTAGATGAACAGATACCTGGAACGTCATCATCGTCGGCTGTCTTGAATCGACTTGTCACATTATTAGCCAATTTCTTCAAATGAGTCAATGACTCCGCACCCAACTGATTCAGAATGCCTGGCAACATCTCCGTGATCTCTGGAAATTGAACTAACTCAACAATAATATAAAATAAACACCAATAGAAAGGCAAAAGAACCAACAAGCATGAAAACACAAACTTTAGCTGTACGACCGTTCTAATGTTAGCCCACAAAAATTATTTGGAATCATTTGCTGATAATGAGCTAAAGCGTTGCCCAATACATCAAACTCAATTATTGCGATCATTTAAAAAAGTTGCTTGGTTTAATATTCATATTTCAGCAATGAAATGAACTGATCTGACACAGAGAGAAATGTTTTTGATAAGAATAAATATTGCCACTTCAACAGTTCTCACTGCTCATTTATTTCAGTAATTTAATTGTGAAGTGAACTTGTTGCTCACAACTAAGAATGAGGCATTTTGGCGCCAGCCGTTTCATTTCTGCTGATTTGTTCTCCATTAACCCCAAAATTTAATTTGCGTCAAAACGTAATATACCCCTCATAACTATAACGAGACACGAATATCTTTTCGATGTCACTAAAGTCACATTGGAAGTTTGTTTACGTATCATAACCATCAACAGATGAATGAAGTAAACGTTACGTTTGTTCTCAGCGCTACCAGTAACTGAGAATGTATTCGCTGGCACCGATGCTTGAACCTTCGGATTATTGAAATGAATCACTGTTCCATCATCTTTTATCATATTTACCTGGAAAAATCGAAGAGTGAAATTTTCTTCCATATTTTAGGTCGAAGTACGCATAAAAAACCAGAACAGACGAACGGCTCACATCACAAAGGTACAAATAAAACGTTATTAAATGCTTACATTTTGAAGCCGGGACATGGGATACCTGAACAAACCGATTCGGAAAAAAATGAAAGTATTCGTAACTCAGTGTTTTATTTGGGCGATTATTACAACTTAAAGTTTTGGGCGATAACGAAGTGAAATAAACTTTCAAATTCGAATATGAATCCAAAACAAAACATATCAATCAACACTACAAATTAATGTTGGGACTGATACGCACCTCCTCAATTCCTGGGATGTTGGTCACTGAAAGTTTCTTCAAATTGCTCTGTAATTTCTTGTCATCGGTAGCAGCCGTCTTATGTACAACCTTCTTCTTCCTACGTGCGGTTCCCTGAAATACAACGTTTACATTCTTTGATCATGAAAAGCCTCTTTTCTGCGATGTTACAAAATGAATGACACAAAATTAGATGAGTATTCAATGCTTGGGTTAATTACACTACGAATATCTGCACTACTTCAGAATCATCTACCTAAGATGAAATGAAGTCAAATACACAACTTCACTGAACTTTGCCTGGTTTGAATGGGCCATTCTGCTGCTTGGTGAAACGACAATACAAAGAAAACGAACAAATACTTTAGTCAAATACATAATTCAGTTGCAGCACAATACCGTTAGACAAACTTACCGAAGAAAAAGTACAATAATATTAGCCAACTGTAATTTTTTCTTGAAGCGATTTTAAGAAATGAAAATGGTAATGTAAACTGACCTTGCCACCTGTGCGAACTTGTGCTGCATTTTGCTGTAACTTCTTTATCTTTTCGTAATTCATACTGAACAGGCAGATAGACGTATAAATAACCCCAATGAGCGATTCTGAAACAGACCCTCAGTTGAGCGCAACAATCATTTGATATTATTACGTTTCTGACCACGATTACAACAACACGGCACTTAAAAACCTGGTTTTTACAAATAATATGAAACCTAAATGCAAGACATGAGAGAAACATGTCTTGGAGCAAGCACGGATACGGGAAATTAAACCATTGAACTACCGCTATAACCAGTCCGATTAGAAGCATTTTCCAGTCACACGTTTCAAACGCATCAAAAAAAAGCTGACAGCAATGGGCAAAATCAAAATCTGAAGGTCGCGCTTTCACGCTGAAGTTACAGCACATGGTCCCTACCAGATGAATACGCTGCTATATAAGGTAATCTAAACCTATAGCTGCGATCAATGTCCCAGTAAAACGGATGAGAGCTGACCACTGCCGAAAGACAAATCGGTACATCATACAGAATCTCTAAACTCGGAACAGGCTATAACATCGTTTGAAAATCTCAGCGTATCACGATTCGATCATAACAATGATGAAATTTTTCATCACACTGAACGAAAACATTTACGGTGAACAACATTTATCTGCACATCAATCTCTTCAACTTGGATCTACTGAATTTGATAGCCGACACCAGAAAGATTTCTAGCATCTGCCGGCCCAACAACATCTAAAAAAAAATCAACGTTCCAAGCATTCAAAGTATAACCTGATCCTGATTGTTCAATAAACATATCATCAAAATTCCACCCCAATTTGTATCTGAGTATCGTCTAATTAAATTTGATATATCACCTCCAAACAAAGCAATAGCACCAACGTTATCAAAGTTGAAGAACTGTCCTATGCCAAAACGGAAACCGCGTTGGGCATTTCTTATTTACAGGTGAACATCTGTTTCGTCATGATTTGTTGCACATTACAACCGTGCGGAAATTTTTTCAATAAAACTATCACTTAGGATTAGCAGCCGGAACAACTTTTTCAGGCTTATGAGTGACAGCGTTGCTAGTGAACCACTCCAGGTTTCTTCCTCATGGCCCCTCGCTTCAACCAAGAGTGTGGAGGGAAAACACGATCTCAGTACTTCTTAATAAGGAAGGTGGTGGTACTTGATTTCAAAATACGTGAAGTCGATTCCTCGAATTTGAAACTACATGATTACGCTGACCGATGTGCTAATGTGTGTTCATATGGTACTTGAACCATCAACGAAACACGAACGAAATTGTCAAAACTAAAGTATGTACAAAGTATAAGCTAGAGTGAAACGAAGAAAACGTATGTCCTAATCAAAATCCTAATCCAAGGGAAAAGAGGCAAAATGCACGTGACTGTGAACTGTATCACTTTACAGACTAGACTTCACTGAATTTAAACTGTGAAACGACCGATGAGAAAAAATCATACAATAGCACAGAAAACGAATCAATATGTATGAGACAGTGTTGAAATAAACAATTGATCAAGTGACACAGCTACGAGAATGAATAATCGATAACGAACCAAAACCAAGCAGTGACTAATAACAACTAAACAATGTCATTTAACAATGGTAATCACCATTTTCCAAAGTTTGTTTCACAATTCCGCGAAAAACGTGCATTGAATCAATCGTATTGCCCACTGCATGCGAACTTGATCCCAATGACTTGCTGCGCAGCAGCCCATTCACAACAGCGGTTGATGCAGCCAATTCGCTAACCAGCTACTTATGTACACGGCAACTTGTAAAATTCACCCGCTCCACTTTGAACCTTATCCGTTCAAGCTTGAACTCAGTCATTCACTTTTTTTCCTAAGCCTGCATCGTGTAAACCAATCCTAGACCCTAAGTTCGATGCAAGCCAACGAGACTGAACCTCAGCTAAGTGCACCGGGTGTATTTTACAGGCCATCCACACACGTTCGATGAAAACAATATTCCTACATTGCCATCAGCACATGCTAGCATTATCAATTTTTGGCACTCGCCCGTTTTGCCAAAAGAAGATAATTTACAAAAGGTCCAAGTGACGATGGAGAGGGGAAAAACTATTAGCCGACAATGGATAGGAGTTAGTAGAATAGTAATATTAGTGCATAACCGGGGAACATGGACAACTGAGTTGAAAGGTTAGAACATGATAGCAACCAGTGAAAATTGATGTGAAAAATTCTGATGCGATTCGTGTGAGAGAACTTCAGCGAATAGGCGTGTTGAATTGTTTGTCGATCGCGTGAAGAAGCTATCGTTCGATACTGATGCCGTAATCACGAAATGTTCTTCGTGGAACTGAACATCATCTTAACGTTAATTCGGAGCAATTGTTCGAGTAAAATCGTATGAGTCACGTTAAACCGGACATATGCTAAATCTTGAACTGAAATCGGATTCCATCCAAGTATTTACATTGGTAGAGAACGCTGCTATCTCGTCGATTCAATAACTTCAGTTCATCATCCAGTTGATGTTAAAATACAACTTAAGAATTATCTCTGCGAACGTTTCATAATCACCACTCATCTGAAAATACCGACGTGTACAATCACCTTCAATCAATCGACAATAATGCTGTTTGGAAATGATCACGTTTAGCAAAAGCAACTGAATCCACTGTCAGACTTTAAAATCAGCAAAGCTATCCGTTTTTGAGAAGAAATTTCTGAAACGAACTTTATATTGTGCGATTCGCAATAGCAGCAACAAACACTGTAGACTAAGGGTGGAATGCGTGACAAGCGAACATTCAAGGAGACGTGATTCATCACTGATGTCGAGGAATTGTTTAAAATTAAAGTTATGGTTCCATCGTATTTCATGCTTGTTGATGTGGATAATTTGACAAAAGATGGATTCTCAATCCACTGATGAAGTATCATGAAAGTAAGATTTGTATCAAAATCACTCCTCTTTTTGATTTCTGGTGACAAGTGAAGGTTTGAGTTTGTGCTGAAGAGAAATGAGCAGGAGTTGAATAGATAGGATGGGCTCCCATATTTGAATGCACATCCATTCAAACATGGAAGTCAGCTGTATTTTTGCTGTCTGATTATATTTCCTTTGACATTAACCAAAGGTAAAATATTAATACTGCGAAATTTTTGTACAGAAAAGTTAGATGAGTTGTTGGAGGTTGTGTGATTGCCGTTCCCAGGCCACTGGGCCGGAATAAGGTTTGAGGGCGAAGCCAAAATTTCCCGGATCAGATCAAGACTTGCCAAGCCGAGCTAAGTCAGAGTAGGAATAATTTTGGCCCGGCCTTGCCTGGTAAATCTTGTTGCAATGCGGCAAATCTTGGTTAGACCCATCCCGGCAAGTCTTGGTCCGCCCCGGTAGCCTGGGACTGGCAGTTCCACAGTCTCCAATTATTGCAGCATGAAAACCTGATTTTTGGTTCGGTGTTAGGTGTGAAATCAACATTTCAGCTTCAGATATCACAGAAAGCTGTTTGTCTAATCGTATAGCGCAGCGGTCCCCATGCTCGGGTGCTCCATTACCTGTTCGATGGTCTGACAAGCCATCATTAATTCCCCCTCCCCCCTTCCCGCTGCAATAATTTACCATTCCCGCGCATAACGTTAAAACTAATTTCTCGATCCCCTCTATTATCTCACCTGACACCCCAAAATTACCTAAAAATGGGTGATTTATCCCCACGGGGACCCCTGGTATAGCGGATGAGACATTAAGTTTACGCACAGCTGCCCCAAGTCATTATTCAACGAGATTCCAACTCTAAATTTATCTTATTCTGTGGATTCTTTTAGAGTTGAAGCATTGATCTGCATTGAATTAAGTACGAATACGACGTTGTCTTATACTCAAGTCGTGATTAGTCGACAGTACTGTTGTTTATTTGGAGCAGTTAAGAAGAGCAAACTGTTCTCGGTTATTCGTCGTTGTTTTATGTTGAACTGACTAGAAATGTGAATGTAAAAACGGAATATATACAGGAAAGCATATCAAGCATTGTATTGTTGCGAATTCTCAAAGAATGAGCGTATTTGGTAAGATCTTCGGTGGTGGCAAGAAACAACCGCCAGCTGCCACACCACAAGAGTCCATTCAAAAGTTACGTGAAACAGAAGAAATGCTGGTAAAGAAACAAGAATTTTTAGAGACGAAAATTGATGCGGTATGTTATATTTGGTTCATATTCACTTGTAACTAGAGTGAAGAGTAATGCTGAGTAAAATTCAAGAAGTATTAGATTTTTGAATCATTTCACAGTTCATAGTATCACGTTGTGCACTTACTACTGAATAATTCCTCACTCCTTTTCCGTCGTGATTGGCGTCACATCATATAATTCTTTGTTAGCATAATATTGCTTCGCTTTTGAGCCAAATATGCAGAGGATGCCATTAAGAATGAATGACCCATGCTTAAGATTAACTGATGAAAATGATCGTTCAAAATCAATGATATGTAGTTATTTTCAGTTTTTAAAAAATACTGGTCAGTGTGCTAGTAAAATTGGAATTATGATGAAGTTGAAGTGCATTTAGAAGGTGATCTTCATTTATCCCTTTTTAAGGAGTTGGCATCGGCTCGAAAGCACGGTACAAAAAATAAGCGATTGGCATTACATGCATTAAAGCGAAAGAAGCAGTTCGAGAAACAGCTGCAGCAAATCGATGGCGTATTATCTACGATTGAATTCCAAAGGGAGGCGCTCGAGAATGCATCCACAAATGCTGAAGTTCTTCAAGTGATGGGTTCTGCAGCTAAAGCACTTAAAACTGCACATAATGACATGGATGTTGATCAGGTTCATTTTTCTTTGATTCTGTTATTTGTTGTAACAGATTGCTTAATACTCGATTTTTTCCTAATCGCATAACTGAGAAACAGTTGGTTTGTAAATTTGATAACTCTCAAGCGATCAGCATTCCACTCGTTTTGAAAATATCTAGGGAATATTAGAACTGATTGAGACAAATTAGTTGAAACAGAAATAATATTTGAACTACGTACTCACTGAATATAATTTGTTAGAGGCTAAATGTGTAAATTTTTAAAAATTTTTTCAACGTTCATATGATCGTCACTTTGTCTCGAAGTTAGCGGACATTTCAATGTCGCTACAGTTGCAATCTGATGAAACGCGATCTTGAGTTTTCCGATATTTTTGCGTTCGATTATCATATTATATCATTATTAGTTGTTCTTGTAATCACTCTCAATCTATACTTCGAGAATATATTGGAAGATATTCTCGCGTCATTTCGATTAGTCACGTTTTAGAGCTGATCTCACTAATATCAAGACTCATAAGAGTCTTTTAAATCAATCTTTCAATTGTTGAACGGATGATTTCATGAACACAAAGCTATCGGTTCAATGATTGAATCGAAATCAATTTAATGTGCATCTAATCAATTAACTGCACATTCGTTCAGCTCTAGTTGTATTCATTAAGATGTACACATGTCTTGTGGCAGGTTGCTTTTAAACGAAACACGCAATGATGCACTGAAATAGAGGAAACAGAATATCTGGCCTCCTTAAAGAATTGTATGCATCAAGTGAGTGCTTGTAGAACATTCTTATTGTTAGTGTGAGACAGGATGACATTCCATATATTACGGTAATTATCTGCATGACTAGGCGGTCTTTCCTCAGTAACGGAGATTATATATTGGAATATTTGTGAATGGTCAGTGGCGTAAGGATGCATTATATTTGCAGTTATACAAATCCGCTTTTTATCATTTTTAATCTAGTCTCCCTACGTAAGCTGGCCGTTATTGTACGTTCCTTTTCTCGTGTATCTCTTGAAGAGCCAGACGAGCGGCTCCAACCTGATCGTTAGAGTGGAGAGCGCAGGTTATGTTGTTAATGAGTTGATGTGAATATGTGTTATGTGCAGACGATTTTATAATAGTTCAGTGATCAAAAATGCATTTTAAGGTACATGACTTGATGGAGGATATTGCCGAACAGCAAGAAGTGGCGGCCGAAATTGCTGAGGCGATAAGTAATCCAGTTGGATTTGGTCAAGATATTGACGAAGATGACCTTATAAAAGAACTTGAAGAACTTGAACAGGTTGGTTCCGTGCAAACGCATCAGATTAACGCAATATCAGTTTAAATCTTTAAGAAGTTGTATATATTAGTGGTAATTGAGTCATCGATCAATCGTTCAGTTTCAATCAAAACATTTTGATTCATCGTTTATCGCGGTCCAGTTTCATTGTGTTGATCGTTCTTTACTTCTCAGGAAGAACTTGATAAACAATTGCTCAATGTTGGCCCAACTCCGGCTACAGTCGCGAGTTTACCAGAAGCCCCAACCACCGAACTACCAACCGCAGCAAAGAAAACCGCGGCCAAGAAACAACAAGAAGATGAAGATCTTGCCGAGCTTGAAGCATGGGCAAATGCCTAAACCAAGCTTTCCTCTTGAATGGTTGATTAGTGCTACGTTTGCAGCTCTAATATCAATAATTGTTAGCATTTGTGCAAGTTGCAGAAACTGGAGAGGAAAAAGATGTGCCCAAAAATGCGGACGTTAAGATGTGAATGAGTAAGAGTCTGTTCAAAATCATGTTAGTTACGTTGACGAGAATAGAATGTTGGAACTTAGTTAGGACGAGTATAGGACGGAATGATTTTATGTGAAAAATAGTCGGCAAGAGAAATTACTCCCAGTGATCCTAGTGAGTGATTCATGGTCGCTTTTTTATATTTAAAGTAAATGTGTTCTTGCGCTCGTATGGATGCTGTTCAGTTCTTTGCTTGCTTCAATTAATTTCATGTATCGCAATTTTGAGTCACTGCATTCATTTTTAAATATTCCGAATTTATATCATATATGTTTTATTTTATCTATCCAAGATACGCTTAAGGAAGATATTCAGAGAAAAACAATGAATTTGTTCATTGCAAACATATTTGTAGCTTTTCGAGCAAAAAAACTTTTCACGATTTGTAGTAGTGGTCACCGTCTTACCTTATTCGTGTGTAATGGATTCATTTTATCATCTGAGCCACTTTTATTTGTACATGTTCGTCACTGTATCAATACAGGAAAGAGTTCAGCGAAGAAACATTTCAGTTTCGTTGTTTGTGCGGTGTGATTAAGTTTCACCTCTCCTTTTGTAGATAATGTATTTGAAAACGGTCGTAGCTTTTGTTGGCTCGAATTTTAGTACCTCTGAGTGCAATTTAGTAGTGTTTAGTGAGGAGGCGCTAGATATTGTTGCAGTGGTAAGGAAAGGAAAGTATGTGTTGATCGAGTGAGCTACCTTTATGAATCGCTGAATTGTTTTGATTAAGATATGATCTGCGTGCTAATGCTTTAAGTTCATGAGTTTCATTTCAAAGATTCATTAAAGGCAATTAGAGTCTGTAATTTGGTATAATGAGCAGATTCATTTCTTCATCTCAGTGAGCCGTATATGTCCACACGAAAACATTCGTCATTCATCTCTTTGTTTGATTAATCACTTTACTTTTGACATTTTTGTACTGTTCGTTCACGCATATATTCATTTTATTTTATTTTGATCAAAATGTATTCATCCGTTTCTGCATTCTCACTTGATCCAGTTATCGATCGATGCAACTAAATTACTGAATGGTGATAGTTTACTTGATTACGTTGTTATATCATTTTTAAACGGCTTAGTGAATCTTTTACGACCTTTCAGGAAGAATCGTTAGTTGAATTCTTCGATAGTCGATAGCATTCATGGAAGTTTGCAGAAATAGGAAAATGTCGTAAGCCGAAGATTATTCAGTGTTGTTTTATGCGCGGATGCTCCTCCCTTTCGCCGTTTCAGTTCGTACTTGTAAATCAATGTGAAGAGCAATTTCTCAGACGGTGTTCAACAATAAAGTTACCATTTCAGTTATCATCGTATTCATTTGTGTGTGGTTTAGTCAATTTATAAATACATTTCAATACGAATTCCCTCGTGATCAATTCATCTTTTTCTTCTTGTCAAGACATTCTTCATATGTTCAGTGATGGTTCTATACATAAAATAAAATAGTTTCTGTGTTATTATTTTCTCCAGTATTCGTCCATATCCACTTCATTATTTCTTGATATATTTATCAATTCCTTCCGATAATGAAGATTTCATGACAATTTTCTGCGGTTTCGCCATTGCTCTCATGGAGAAGAGAAAGAGCAAGAGATAGGAAGAACATTGAGGGAAAGGTGCTCAGTACAGGTGATCAGCGCACTACAAAGCGAATAAATTAATAAATAAAAGGTGCTTAGTACAGGTGATCAGCGCACTACAAAGCGAATAAATTAATAAGTACTCTGAAAAGGTTCAACATATCTTAAGATAGGAAAAGAAACGGTTGTTGCGTGATTTAAATATTACAAGGACATTTTGTGGAATGGTTTCGGTGAATTATCCTTGTCGGAGAGTATTTCGTTTAAAAGTGTGCGTATGGCGTATGTAAGAAGATACTGTTACCGTGCGTACCTGATACATTCGAGTCGGTGTGTAACTTTTTGAAATATGTTTATTGAAATAAGTTCACTCCTCAGAAATAAAAACAAATTGAATGTAATCGATAAAGTTTTTGGCTATATTCGTTTGGATGGTGCAAATCCAATGCGTTTTCCACGGATGTCGTGAACTTGACAGTATTCTCTAATGAACGGATTACCAAGGATCCACGTCGGCCCATATCCACCGCTCAAACTGACTGAGAAAAAGCCGAAAACACATTCGTTGGGTTCAATCTGCAATCATAATTTACAATCGCTGATAATAGGTGGTCAAACTCAAAGAAAAAAAGAAGCAAATGTGAACACAACGAATTTGGAAAGTATTCCAATTTGAAAATGAATTATACATTGATAATCGTAAGATGTTTATAATGTTGCTTTTATTTGTTGCGATAGGTTAAACATGAAAGACTCAGATTCCACCAGAGGAAACCAAAATTTGGTTCGATTGTCGCACCTTTTCTTGTTATTACAATTTGCTGAGAAGCTGATTTTTATGTTCCCGTTGAACTGTTATCTATATCACATACACGCTACTTATCACGATATGTCTAACAACGAAATAAGTGTGAGTGTGCGTTTTTAAAATTTCCTGTTGTTAATCTCATTGATGGAACGATTGAAGTGCGGACTCATTCCAATCAACAGTAACAAATGGATTTTGCTACTCATCTTCGCTTTGTAGTAAAAAGAAGCTTGTAAATGCGGTAATGGTCGTTTGGTTGAAAGGAATGATCTCTGGACACTTCCTATTCATTACCTCTACAATGTAATTCTCTGGAGTGATCTTGTAGATGTTATTTCCAATTGTTATGCTGATGGGAGACGCTTTAGCATTACAGTCAATGGTATGTAGATCGTTCGAATAATCGTACTGAAAGCAGAAATTAGTTCGAAAAAATAATTGGGAAATTAAAGCAAAATGTTTCGGTTACAAGTTTTTAACGATGAGAATTCAGTCATCTTTCGATGCATATTTTATTACTGATGACAGTCACATTGTAACGTTACATAGAATATTTCGTATGAGCGTTGAATTCGGTGATTCTGAATTGATGAAAATTTTATACGGCGATAAGAGTAGAAAATTAGTTGAAAAAGGATGTTTCAAAAAATAGCATTGCATTTGAAACTGCTTCTCTTACTTGAGCGTCAACAGCCTCAGCGATTCGTGTAATCAGATTCTGCGGTCCTCCAATAAATGATGTACCTGTATCAGAAATAGCCTCAAAATGAGCATCTGTTGAGTAATCACCAGCTGCAATACCCTTTATTGCAAACTGCCAGTAGGTAGTTGTCGTGAGTGGTTCATAGTCAATGATCTCTTCACAATTGTTGCTATCAAAACCACCGAATGTTATTGATCCTCCAGGTGCACCTTCTCGAAGACCCTAAGCATTTATATTTTTCAATTATCTACCAAAAACTTTAATTCTGATTCAGAGGTATTCTAGCTGCACTCTAGAGAGAGTTTAAGGAGATTCAGGCATTCTCTAAATTACATTGGCTGTGAACGAGTAACAGTTGTGCAGCCATCATTTAGAGTATCACTGAAATAGATCTTATCTCAGTTGCTCAGCTCAAAATGTTAGCGAAAAAATAGTATAGTGAAATGGAATAATTGAGAAAGAAATGAAACTGATTTCAAAAACGCACTCCTTTCGACATAAAAACCGTGAAGATAGGTTCATCAAGGATATTTTGATCAACTGCATGAACCATTGGCGATTTGATGCCATTGTCGAAGGTTGTAAATGACAAGCCAAATATACCATCTGCCGGATCATTAGCGAAACCATGCACCGAAGTTGCTTGGCCAAAAGGAAGGTCTTTGAGCAACAAATGATTAGTTCCAGTTCCGAACTCTTCATCACCTAACTGAAAACATCACACTTCATTATTATTTCTCCCTTCATTCAACTCATTCTTAAGTAGGTATACCTCACTTTTCGTCGCTAACTAATTCCAGGAAAAGTGATTCGAGTCGAATCTACCTACCACTAAGCTAAACTACAAGTAACCATTCTCAGTTCTACATTTCATTTATAAATGTATTTTTAATGGTATGTGGTTAATAGGAGTCTATTTTAATATTTTAAGTTTGTGAACAACTAGATTTTATTTTTTAATATAGTACAGAAAAAAGTAAAATATATTACAGTAGAAAACGACGCAGAATCTAGAACTACTTAACTCGAAACGACCTAAGCCGAGGTAAACCTGTGTAATGATTACATGAATTAAGAAGTAGTGACATTATGAAATTTTCGATTACATTGAATGTGTCAATTCCCAAATGACCATTTGCATTCGATCCATCCGCGTAAAAAATGCTCCACGGTCTACCATCTTTTCTGTAAGTTTGCGAAAGCGATGAATCGAACGTACGCTTCCTTCTGCAGTCACTGAATAACTTTTCTTTGCAAGACGTATCAGGTACCCAAAGGTGCGCGGAACCCGTATCTGGCACGACAAGAAAATTTTGGATGGCTGGTGTACCGATGCTGACATTCATCAAATACTCCATATCGTGGTAGCTGTACAACTGAAACTGGTCAACTATTACTTACTATTAGTTCAAATTTGCGTTTCTTTCAGCTGCAATTATCACTCACCTTCCATTCGATATTTTGTTTTCATTTGAAATATCTTCATTGTTCATTTGTCAAAAGCATACAATGAAGGTTATGATCGGGAGGCAAACAAGAGAGCTGTTAGCCGGCATTGGTATTATAAAATGACATCCATTCAGTTGCACATATTATGATGGGAAAGACAAAACCAAATGAGATGAACGTTTCATTTCCTTTATGAGTAGCTCATTTGAATTAGGATGGTGTTTTAGGGTTATGAAACTGTATGGAGAAAATTAATTTAGGATGATCATTCATATAGAGAACAGTCACATTAAAACCCTTCTCAAAGCAGATTGGGTACGTTCTATGATCATTCAGTATTGTGATTACAATTTGCGCTTCAAAATTTGAGGATAGTGCTAGAATGTGCTCGTCGATTTGTCTGAATTGTTCATTGCAATCGAATTGAGTTATCCATTTATTTGCAACTCATGATTATTCACTTTGTTCATCACCTTACCTACTACCGTCCAGGTGTTCTTCTTTAACAGCAGCTTTTTCTAATCTTTTCTTACATGCATTTAATAGAAGAGTTATGTATTGCTTGTTGGTTGAATTAACTCACAGTGGTTTTTGAAATTGGGACTGTGATAAGGCATTAATTAAGTAGAATCGATATAGACAGGAATCGAAATCAACAAGGCTGATGCCTCCTGAATTGTCACTTGTATTTTGATATCTTAAATTCGAAATTAAGGAAGCTTCCAGATAAGTGATTTTCAGCGTTTCTCCTGCCTGACGCAGAGCCGCATCGAGCCAGAAGAAAAGATTTTGAAATGCTAAGAACTGGTTCCCGTGTTCACCATACGTTTTTTTGCTCAACATTCGCAGATGAACTGAACAGAACTCGTAGTTGAATAGCTATGTAAACCTTTTCATAACGTTGGTCATCATTGTTGAATGCACTCCTAGATCGCATCAGTCGCATATGATTAGCATATCGAGACCATTCACCACTCTTCAGTAGTCGTACTCGACGACTGTCAACTCTTGTCAGAGAAACCTTGAAAGATGTACATAAACGTTTATATGAAATTAAAAATGGAACAGTTTCAAACAAAGAATTAAATTGGAATAGTTTTCGTGTATGAACAATAAGCTGAGGTTGACTGGAAGACGTCATCATGTAAAGCTCTGATTGTGATTGTTTTTCGAAAGAAAAGCAATGAAGGTCACTAGAAATCGAGTTCACATGGTTATTGAGATAAATGTTTGCGAGTTTGAACCTTGTGAATGCCAGCATCAACAACAGAAATTACTGAAATAAGGAGCAAAATGAATAGTTCTATTTCTGCCATTATTGTGGTTGTTTCTTGAGAAGCAATGGAATGCGGTGGAGAAGAGTGACTGACGAGGGTAACGATAGTGATATTGTGAAGTTGGCTTCTCGTGGCCACGAATTTATAGGGGAACTCTAATCAGAAACGATTGCTTGTTAATTTGTGATGAAATTTATCGCAAATGTCATCACAAATTGACAAGCGATTGTAATCACTTGAAACAATAAACATTGAACGAGTTATTTCAAGATAACTTTATCACGCAAGCACAGTAAATCGCTTTCTCAAATAACCAATTTGATAAAATGATTCTGATATGAGCAACGATCGTTGTCACTGAGTTATTTGCTTTGTTAACGAACTAATCTTGTGTTATTTCGTTTGATGGTGATTCACTTCGACTCGAACTTCCTCAATGAAAACAATCGCACGACCCACCGTACTCCTCATTGCATGTTCCCAGTGAATAGAGATTTTTTTCCTGAAATTATAAAGCCTCCAATCTTCAGCTTAACTGTAGTTCTACGATTCTTTAGGAGGAATAAGTTTGATAAAGGCAAAAACGCAAACCTCTCGATATTCAGTAAATCTTATACACTGGGCTTTTTCCGCTTGCTGAGAATTGTTCTTAGCTGAACTACTAAGTTTTCTTCGAAGATTTTATCCACTTCTATACTTATTTGAATAACGAACAGTTTTTGATGCAGTCCATATAGGTCATATGAAATGGCTGTTTATATTTTCAGTTTCACTTAATATAATGAAATTTTTGAATTAATAATGAAATTGTGAAATGTTGATAATTCACTGATAATTCGTTGCCTTGATAACTGTGCGATTTTTTTGGAAGATATTCTTGTGCATTTTTTGATAGAAGAGAAATGAGATTCTGAATGATAGACGGACGAGTAATCAAAAAGTAACTAGCATTTCATTTGTCCTAGTTTCCATAAGAACTTTTGTTACTAATCTTTTTCTACAAATTTGTAAGTTGACAGCGAAATGGTTTGTTTGTTCGATTTCAAATTATTATTTATCCAAACATACAATAAAAACAAACAGCAGTTGTTTTTATTGTTTGTTGATCGCGTTTACGTTAACGTTTGTAATGAACTGTTTACAGTAAATTTATTGTTTTCGATATCGTTAAACAATAACACATATAGAATTAGTGATGCAAATCATCACTTGCATATAAATAGAATTGCTGGAAATTGCTTCAGCAATGCAATTCAATCCTGATACTTTTTAACTCATCAAACATTGTTTTCGAAGCTGAATTCAGTCATATCTGAATACGCTTTAAATTTGATTGCTCAGTTCAAATTCTGTCACTGATGTTGATATTAACTTGTAGAAAAAGAACAAATTCGTATACAGGTCATATGAAATACATGAATTGAATAAAATGTCTGCAATATGAGTAAGATTTAAAAAAAAAACAAAAGAATTTGTTCTCGAACTTTTTCGACTGCTACTGAAATTGAAAATCGGCAAACGATTTTTTGAGACTGATCTGTACAAAACTGAAACCAAGAATAAAGCAGATATAGCAAATTTGGAGCAGAAGAATGCTTTATTGGAAGCTTATTTGTCCTTTATGATCCTTTCGAAGCAATTTTTTCTCAGTTCAGCCCACATAACATCGGAAGTAGAGCAAGAATACGGTCCTATGAACTGTCATACTCTGCAATTTGGACTATCAGCGCAGTCCCACTTCCCCGATAAACTTGCAATATTTCTTCAGATTATATAGCAAAACAAGGTTCCAGCTATTCCAAATAAGCGATGATCAAATGCTTCCCAGTGTATTTCCTTCATTTTGAAGTTATTTATAGCAATGAATGATGCAAGATGTACTGTGGAGTTGGAACTTTTGGACGTAATGATTGTTAACTCACAAATTAGGTTCTAACGACAATAATTCTCAAGTATTCGTAATTAGTTATGACTTGAGCTATCACGAGAAAATATGGATTAAGAAGTGAAATTTTCATATTGTAAAATCACTTATTTAGTTGTTTTCAAATAATGATGGTCACATACAACATTCACAATTGGTCGCATACAACATTAATTGTAAGTGAATTTTTATTGAGAGTATTTGTAATGAAATTTATTTTGAGCCGACATTTTGCATTCTTTTGTGTCATTTTTCATTCGTAATTTATTGTAAGTGTCTGAAAATGCAACTGATAAGATTCTTCATTTGAAAGGAACAAAACGACTGATATCATATTTGCTGTGTATAAAATGAATCAATGAAAGGTTGAGTTGGTTTACATAATTGATTTTACGTTATGCCAACGAGACAAAGAACTTTCGCGATCATCAGCAATGCGTTCATTTTTTTCAGTTGTTTGAGATGCTCTTATGAGAAGTGTGCAGTTAGTGCTTGCTTTGATGTGTTATGACATAAACGTGTAGGATTTATGTGGTGACGTTAGTAGATTTTTATCGTTATTCTTGATTTATTTTGCATCTTTTTCGTTATGCTGAATGACATTCTTCGAACACACTTCATCAATTGATTCGTTCATTACTCTTTCGTCAGAACTGTGAATGCACAGAAGCACTTCAAATGAATCATTAGCAGAACAGTGCATTTGTTCATTAAGTGTAGAGTGAAGTTGACAGTTATGTGGCCAGTTCCTGTATAAATAGTGCCATTCTGAACATGATTCATGATGAATCAGGACGATGAATACATCGCTGAATAGTTGTTTCTTTTCATTTTATTCTTCCAGTCTCCACCAAACTTTTGCACTCAACACACTACCCGCTTGATATATTATCCAAAAAAGCAATCCATTTAGCAAGTGAATAACAGCTAGCTCACTTCATCTGCTTTGCGTAGTTACCTTTTTCAAATCGACCATATTTATCGATGAAAGTAACCTTTTTGTTGTAACAACTGGTAGGTGAAAATATATTTCTGGAGTGGCAGATTGTATTCTGATTTCCTTCGAATATGATCTGAACAGATTGCGCAAACTAGGCGGCACAAAGTAATCCAACAGAACTCAAAATATTTTTTTTCTGTTGATAGGTTCATTCAAAGCGTGCTTTAGAAGAACTCATCGGATTTTTTTCATAAGATTGCTGAAATTATTGGAGAGCATCTTGAGCTTCAGTTCGAAACGTTACGAATCAAAATGAGAAGAACAGCTGCAATTTCGAGTGGATATAATTTTGCACGAAGCTTACAACATCATCTTCTTGCCTGTCTAACAACTGTTTGAATTGTTGATCATGCTTGTTTCAGTTATGCGTTCAGATTTTAGTTGCTTGGAATGATTCTCGGTGATAGTACTTTACAAGTGGATTTTAACAACCAGTCGGATTGTTGCATGTTATTGTATGTATTCACCTTATTATTGAGAGACAATTATGTTTTAAGAATATCTGATACATTCACTTCAGTGGCGAGACGTTGAACGTTGAACACGCCTTGAAAACAATTTTGCACCAAAGCATGCATAAACGACTATTCAAAAAATTGCTTTCCAAGATCATATTTCTTCTCAAAACTTCACTCACTTCATTTGACTACAAATTTGCGTCAGTCTTAAGAATGCATCAAATGTTTTTGACTGAAATGGATGACAGCTGAAGCGTAAAACTCTCAGATATTTACAAGTCGAGTCATCATAGCCTTGAATGCTGAACTTCGTCCCACAGATCTATAGCTTCCGTTGATATTTTTTTTTTTTCATATTTTCCCAATCTCATTCATTCACTTCAGCATTCCCTTCTCTGCCACACCACACTTCGATTTCTCCGTCTTTCAGAATGTTGTTATCCGTAGCTGATTGTATCCATCTCACCCACAGCTAGTTCAATAAACTTCGCCTTCCACTGATTATTTTTCGTGGTGATCTCCTATTGAATGAAAAGATTCTGAGCTGGAATGGTCATGAGCATCAATCAGCCTTGATTTATTAATTGTTACACCACGCTTTAGTTTCCTGTCCCATGCATTCATTTTCGAGAACGTTGAGAACGAATGACAACACACTGCAATCATAAATTGCGATCACTGAAGGCTTTTCTATCTCTCAATTTTGATCAGATACTAGCTCTTATATGTACCTACGAATGAGATAAAATTCCACATTCAGCAGGATTGTTGTATTATGATTAGCGACTTTATTGTCTGTTAGTTTGAATCGCGTGTTTCAACTGTCTTCCATCTCATGGTTCACCTTCAAATAAAAATTGCGTCATCACAGCTTTACTCTTTCGTTTTTGTGAATGTGAGTGCAAGTACAGAATAGCCTTATGATTATTTCACTTTTATATGTCAGGTTCATAAGTTTTCCTTTTCAGCCATAAATTTTGCATAAGCACTTCATCCATTTTTAAGCTTCAGTTTCAGTGAATGTTGAAGGTTGAATAGGAAAAGAAGGAAATTTCTATATTAACACCATATAAAGCAATAGCATGATTAATATGTGCAGCAATGGAAATGATGATAGCACTAATACTAAATAACTGTTCGAATGGTCTTAACAATTCAACAGCTGCAGTAGTTATATCAATGTGAACAATAACATAATGCTAACAGCAACAATAAAGGTACAATAATAAGTGGATATCCATATTTCATTCCATTACCATCACTAGCTCGAATTAGCTGCATGAAAGAGTTTTCGAAAAAAATGCGACAGTTTGAGAAGACAGTCATATAATTTGTGCAATAGCCTTAAACTGATCAAACGAATAAGAATGAAACAACATGCAATTGATTTGACTTGTGTTTTTGTATATCCATTATTTTTGCATCATTTACACATCGTTTACACGTCATCGCACTCGTTGAATGATCGTATTTTCTATTGATTTTCATTCATTCAGCAGTGATTCAGCAGTGATCCAGCAGTGTATTTGGCGTATTCCACGTTTCTATATGCGAATAGTTAAGTGCTTCAGATAGTTTTAATGTTTTCCACAAAATCCAATCGAGATGAATTTCTCTTCATAAATCGACAAAAAATAAGCCTCTTTTGATACTCATTTGAATGTTCAGGATGTAATTGTTCTCCTAATTTCATGAACGGTCATTGTCGGTGTTATACAGATGCAGGCTTGTAACTCTGAAATCCGGTTGATTCCAAGTACATACGTTAAAGATGTGCTATTTGATCATCGTACTATAATAAGTGAAAAAGAGAGCAAACAACGTGTTCATCGTATCTGTGGAATGCTAATCATTTTATATGTGTTGCGATTTTGATACCGTCTTATTGAGACTCTTTCAAAAAAAAAAAACAAAACAAAACAAAACCACACGCATATAAATTTATGCATATATAAATGTATGAACGTAATTCAAATGTAAATATTCTATTACATAGTTCTCAGCCATATCGATTAGGTCTACACGTGTTGACGAAGAATCACGATGATAGTACGTTATCAGACTTTTAGCGGTTTTTTGGTTAGTATGAAACCGTCTTTTTTGACGTGTTGACTAAATGGCGATTCATATCACACTTTTTGTTGGCAGCTTCATACAGTTGTAATATTAGAATAGCGGTTAATGGTCTTTTTAACGATTATGATTGTAATCTGAGTATTGCCACATATCAAGCATACGTGTCTTTGAAGAGTCGTGTTCGCTTCTGAAATGCAGCAACACAAAACCATATCTTTTTATTGCGATCGTTTTGACATCTGCTTGCTTCAGATACATTCCCAAACATGGCAATGCATCAAGCAGACAAAGTATTTGGTACTCTTTGTGAACTGTTACCTGAAACAGAAGGATTTGAGTGTCATCGATTCAAGGTTTTCGAACTTTCCCTTTCATTTTCTCATTTTAAACAAAACTTGTTAATGAACTAACTCATTACAAGAAAATATTACCAGATTTGAAATGACCAAAAACGCCATGTATCAAACGTGCGCGATATTGAAGTCATATGAACGGCGGATGAACCAAATGAAAGAGTAGTGAATGAACTGCAACCATTCGATGGATGATTCTTAGAATTCAATGAAGCGTTCCTAATGAGGACAAAATACTGAGGATAATGCATCGTGTGTTTGATGTAAAAGCATGCTATTAATACTTCCAGGTTGGATCCTACAATGCTCTGGTTGAACGAGATTTTAAATTATGTTATGACGATAATGTAATGGCAGCAGTTGTGCTAAATACACCATCGTTTCTCGAAACAACGTTCAAAAATTGGCTCATCTCACAAAAAGGCGTAGATGAAACTGTGAACGACTTGATTGCGAAATTTGGAGCTAATCCTCTACAAGCTTACTTCACAGAAAAATTTCGTGCAGTCAAAAAGGTAATATTCGCTCTTAAATATATCGGTAATCTTTCCTTGTGTTTTCCCTAATCTTTCTGTAATACGATAAAATAGTTATGTCCTTTTTTGATTTACATAGCTTGATTGCAAACGTGCAAAATCAGATTCGTTCAACCTCAAACGCTCAGATGATTTGAAAAGGCCACTCGAAAATACTGATGAAAGCATTAATATCGTATTCAAATCATCATTTAACATTAGTATTAGTTATGGCATTCGAGCGAAATTTCATGTCGGTCGGAATCCGATCGGCATAAAATTTCATCATTCCGACAGTCAGAATTTCGACCGACCGTCGGTTGGATACTATTTCATAGCGATTGTTACAATGAGAATTCTTGCTTGATTCGAACATACTTTGAAAATTCATCACACAGCATCAGTCGTATCGATTCCAGTCAACGTTTGACTATTCCAAGTAACTGAAAGTTCTCTCTAGGCTTTGTTGCCGTTTGAAGCAGAGGTCATTCAAGATTTTGATTTCTCTAAACAATGGGTTCCAAAAGTATTACTTACAACGTGTGGTATGGTTTCTGGTGCTGCTTACTATTATCGGCCATCACCTGGACAAGATTTACTAATTGTTGACCCAATAAGTCATGTCAAAGTCCGTTTCTTCCATTCTTTTCGAATTTAATGCCCAAGATTCAGCACAAATATCTTCTTACTTCAAACCGAAAGCTTTGTTGAGAATGAAATTCTCTGATTCATGAATGAATTCAATAAGGGAGATGATTATGAAATCTCCAGTCCGATTCACCGAATCTAATTACGCAAAGTATTCCTAAGTTTTATAGAATATCCAATACGAAAATGATTATTTAAACAGTATGAAAATCAATGATTATTTCAAGAATGGTCTTTATTCCGTGAATTTGTGATATCACTCTTTCCGATCACTGATAGATTTTTGTTTTGATGTGTTTCATTCTGTTACCTTCTGCTTGACTGATTTTCAGAAGCGTCGTATGGGTTTATCATTACATCCGAAATTTGGTGGTCACTTTGGTTTTCGGGCAGTTTTCATATTCAAAGATATCGAATTAGCACACGAATTCAAAGAAAGACAAGCACCAATGATATTGGATACAATTGAAAAACAAGAAGAAGCACTTAATTTATTCAATTATCATTGGTTAGACGGACGATTCCGTGATTGTGGTGATCCTATTGAGAGATATTCTGAGTTACAGATGAAATTCTTTAGCACAGCACCGATTCGTAGATGGTCATTGATTGAACATTGGTTCAACGAAAAAAGTCCATCCAAAAAGAGCATTTGATGTTTTCGTTCGAGATAATCTATTTTGATTATTCATATTATATACCCATTAATTTATTTGAGTATTATGTCTTTGTTAAATGCGCTGCGAAATGTTAAACACTCAATGAAAAAGAATGTGAAAATAACCGCGTCAGATTCACTGCGAAATCAATCATCCGTTGATGGCAATTCTCGCTTACCTCTTTACATCTCTTGAAGGTTGCACTGAAGCATAATTGTATAACGAAATAAACATGAATTGTAAAACTCAGTTTATTTGATTCAAAAAATGAATGTCTCGCCTAATCAGTGAGTTTCATAGTGATCTACCGTGATTCAGTATTTTCCAAATTCTTTCATACCGCCAACTTGTCTAAAACCTGATCGCAGACCAGCAGTAGCTCTGAGGGTCAAAGGCACTGTTTACATCGTACATTGGTGTTTTTACATTCTGTACTTCTTTTCTGCAAACGGAAATCATTACACTCAAAAGCAATCTTTTGATGTTTTAGTCTAACGAAGCAGTCATTTCCATATTCAGTTTTAACTAGTGATGTTTCTATTCCACGCTTTTGGCAAGCTGTTTTGGTCTATTCTGTTCGCCATCTAGCTGTTCTGTTCTGTTCCACTGTTTACTGTTCTATTCTGTTTTCCTGCTTCACGTTTTCGCAAGTCGCACAGTCTTCCTGCACCTTGAATTTCAACATTATCCTGTTCCGTCCTGTTCTGTCGTTCAAATTGTTTTGTTCCGTTCTATTTCTGTCCCATGAAAAATCGAGGTTGGAAACGCGGTTTTCCTACCGAAGGTGTGCAAAACAGAGTGGATTTGGTGTGGGAGAGGATTGTCGACGTAAGAAGTCGACCACATTTAGCGGTGATAATTGGAGGAAAACGGGGATTTCTGGCTTCGGTAAGTGCCATCTTTGAAAACCGGGGGCACTGTAATCCGTGGATGCAAACTCGTTATCACGAGTAGGATTTGGCCTTTCGCTTCTGAGGTTGAAGCATTTCATCTTTGTAAACGTCTCCGTGCGTGCTTGTCCGTCACTGTTGGTAAGCCCGACTGATCTCGAGCATCGCTTCGAGCGCACTTCGTCCCAAGAGTTCGGTACACAGTTTCCCATAGTTAGGTGTTTGTTCAAGCCGACTCAATTCATATGAGCACAAACTTTTATCGGTGGCGCAAAATGTGAATGATTTCTGTGACGGACTGCTTCTAAGGTTCAGAGTATGATCATCAACTAAGAACAAGTTGTCTATTTAGAATCAGTGTCGTATCCTGTAGCGATTTCTTGAAGGAATATCTCACGATTTTTGTTTTTCAATAGTTTTGAAAATTAACCGCGATAACCTGACCTTGATGCAGTTGTTTCATTTCGAATTGATGGCCTTTTTTGGCCTTGATTCAGTTGTTCTTCCTCCAACTGATGACCTTTCTTGTTTTACTAGTGTTAATAAATACGGTGTTTCCTGGTGGATCTGAATCATTGACAGCTTCCAGCATCAATTATTTGAGCGTCAATTATTCATCATCTTCTTTCCAGCATCAATTATTCACCATCTTTGCAGAACATCCTTCGACGAAACAATAGTAATCCATGATTTAACAAAAAAAGTCATTATTTATAATATCTGTAGGCATTATTCAACTTCATCCGAACCACTCGACTAATAAATTTTCAAGTTCAGAATTCTAAAAATTATCATATGATTTAATTACTGGCATTATATTACCAGCAGTGTTTTGATCGTTTTGATGTAAAATGTAGAATATAGTGGCTTGAACATTAGGCTGACTCATTGGTACTGAATAATGATAACAGTAAACAATGGTTACAGCAATACTGTAATAAACAAAAATATTGATAATAGTGATAATGCCACAATGATAACATGTCTTATACTCACTGCAACGCTTCACAGAAATACGGATCTCCATCGCAGAGATCTCCATTTTCCTTTTGATAGCTGTTCTTTTTTGTTTCCATCCCCTAAATTTTTAAACCGTTCTGCTTTATCCTGTTCCACTCTTCAGCCGTTCTGTTTTGTTTCATACGTCCTTTTTTAAAACTGTTATGTTCTGTTCCTTGAGTGAAATAAAAACATCACTAGTTTTAACCTCTCGCGAATCGCTTGCTTGTCGATGGCAACCAGCGCAAATGAAATGGCTTGTACCAACTGGGCTAGGCTTTTACGCTTCGCCAAGATCCTGTGACGCTCATGTTCTGACTAAACGCAATGTCCGGAACAGTTGAAAAACACATGTTTCGTCATGATTATGTGATGCCTCTCCCCGACAGCTACTTCTGCCGTGTAAGATCACTGACAGTCATCTGTCAATGGATTGTCGCTTTAGAGAGCGCATTGCGTTAGCTCGAAATGTATTGAATTGATAAGTTATTTTAGTTGCTATATCTAGAGCTTTTGCAAACGTTGAAAATGTTCAAGAAAGGGTATATTCAATAATAGTCCAGCTGAGCAGGATTAGTCAATTGTGGAAGTGAACAAACGCAAAGAACTTGTTATTATCATTGTGCAAGTTTTTTTGAAAGTAGTTGATCGTCATAAATAGCATTCTTGAATGGAAGGGGGAAAATTCGAGCCGTATAACGGATTTAAATCATTTCATTCCTAGTACCATTCCACTATATTTTGATGAGTTGTTATTGTTTCTACAATACGTTTTGCAGTGATCAATATTAATACGGGATGCGTTGAAGTAAATTGTTTGTCGAGCACATTCATTCAAAACAATCATATTTATGTTTTATGCATAGGGGAAATGAACGACTTCTAGCAGTTCCACGATAAGTTTCTGAAAATTCTGCTCAGCGATACATTTGTGAATGATAAAAATTTAGTAATGTTCATGCATAATTATTATAATAAATGATGATGTTGTTCAATGGTTGTCGTTGATCAAATTGCATGTGAGGATAACGGTGACGATTACTTGAGTATCATGTATAATAATATTGCTGTTCGTTGGTATTGATAGTTTGATGTTGTTATTGCTGACGTTTGAATGTGATCTATATGGGTGCAAGATTTGATTGACAAAGGGAAACTTCATTTGTCTTATTGCTTGTGCTTTTATCTTCTCGTAGTTTTGAATGGTACAAGATACTACCTGAAGAAGGATTGGTAATCCGTAGAAATTATTCGAGTACCCAGGTTCATTTGAGTCCATCTTTTGTTGACCTAAAGCTAAACTTGAGCTTGAGTCTAATTCAAACGTTTGAATGAGGCAGAATCGCAAAATTGACCTTGGGCATCTATTTAGGCGGTTGCAATACTTGACAATGAGTCAAGTACAATTTTTCATCGTAAAAATCACTTAGCCTCGTATTCAGTTATTCCGCATAGTAATATTCATTTTGGAAATGATGAAATGAATTTTCAGTTCTGAAGGATAAGGAACATTAGGTTTAAATGACGATTTATGTGACTTCGTTTTCGTCATTTGTTCTCAAGCAATTGACCAACTCATTTGTTGTTTGTTTTGTTAATTTCTTTCTGTTTGTTGTTCTCAAGAATTTCACTGAAGTTGGTATACAGTGAAAATCAAACATAAACAAGAAAGCGGTCGTCTGATTGTTGGAGTGCATTTTTTTAATTCAAAGAAGGCCGAAGAGGAGTATAAGGAATTGGAGAATTTAGATATGGTATTGATGCAGTTGAACGACTTCCATGTTACACAGTTAACTAGATGAATACCTGAAATTGTCTCAGATAAAAAAGTACATCAATAACCATTGTTCCACTAATATTAATTGATAATATTCTAATTTGTTAATTTCATTGAATAAGAATGTGTTTTTTCAGATTGATCGTTTTCGAAGCAAGGGATCATCCTTGCGAACATTGATTCATTGCTTTTTCGATGACCATATACAGTAAAAGGTTAGCGACAGTGACAGTCTATTCGGCCACTACTTGGAGCAAACGAAACCGTTATCGGTCGGTCTCCAAGAGCTGGTAACTCCGAAAAAGATTAAACTTTGCGATTTCAGGAAACCTTTTCTTCTTTCGCAAAATTCAAAAACTGATGCGGTTGATTGTTTGAAATAACAGAGCCATCAGTTGCATCATTTTTCCATCTTTGCATATTTTAAGCACTCTTTATGATTATGAATCTTCAGAAGTTTCAAAGAATTTCTTCGTTGCTCACTATTTCGTTTCATTGGGTTTGCATGTGATTAGCGCATACTAGCACGCTGCTGTGCTATTTCTCCATTTCATCCCATGTTATTTTCGTAAATATTTCGTTCTTCTTCCGCTACTGCTCCCTTAAAAACTTATCATCGAGCAATGGATGACATTCGACTGGCATTGTGTAGGTGTGTAATACCACGTTGTGTATTGACGATGTATGTATGATGTTATTTAACGAGTGCATTTTCATTAAGTAGTGTTTTCTTATAATCAGTTATTCGCTGTTTGCACGTATCTATGTTAGAAGTAAAATAACTTAAGATTACATTAGACTTATACCTCGTCATTTTGACACTAAAAGTGCATGGTATTAGTTATGATAGATAGATAGATGATGTGATTCATACTTGTTAGATGAATGGTAACAACGTATATTAGGCGAATACTTGTGTGGTTTATTGTTGCTCACATTATGTTCGCGACATTGTATTTGTTTCATCGGTTTGGCGTGTAAAGTTATGGATGAATGTTGTAGAGCATAATATCGGTTGCATATTTTGAGTAATCATGGAAAAATATGAGAAAATACTGGAGCGGTTGCATGAGGAGGTTGCAGAAAAAGATGGATTAGAATTGCACATTTTTAAGGTTATTTGTTCATTTTATCTAACAATATTAATCTTGTTCATTGCATTGTCAAATAAGATAAAAGGGAAAAACAGTGTTGTCAACATCGACAAGAAATATTGATAATGGTTTTTGAACCACAAGAAAGCTTACGTTAGTCTAATTGAATTTAATTCATCAATAAGATGCTCTTCATGGAACTTAACAATTGATAAGCAATTGTTTCAAATCCTAGTCACTCTAGAATAGAGACGAGAGTGATGAAATTAAGAAACGTAATGAAGGTGTATCGGATCAGTTGGCAGCAAATCACCAGAATGTCCGAGTTTTGTGAAGTTTTTTGATCGATTTTTACTTTGATATAATTAGAGCAAAAATTTAGTGAGATTTTGAAAGATCAATGGTCATTGGGATAGAAATTATTTGGTGTTACCAAGTAAACGTGCTTTAGAATCTAGATTACTTTTAAAAGGATCATTCATTTAGGTTTTCTTCTATAAAAACTACTCGTTTATTTGCTCGAAATAATTCATTCCTTAGGTTGGATCCTACAATTCATTGGCTTCAAGTTACTTCCAATTGCCTTACGATGAGAATGCGATGGCTGTTTTAGTGCTCAATACACCGTCTTTTTTCGAAACCACCTTCAAATCGTGGTTAAAATCACAACAAAAAAGTGGCGAAACTTTGAAAGATTTGATCGAGAAGTTTGGTTCAAGCCCAATACGAGCATATTTCAGTGAGAAATTTGATAATCTCAAGAGGGTACGTTGGAATCCGTTCACGTGAAATTCATTTTTATTACATACGATTTACGAGAGGTATGTATGCAATGAGTAGTCGAGCTGCTATATCGCACGAGTGTGGAAGTGTATTTTTTGCTTATTTGGTGAGCATTTTTCACGTGGTGATTATTTTTAGAGTTTTATACCAGTTGAAGTTGTCGTACTACACGATTCTGACGTTCAGTCAAACCGACGTCCCGTTGTCCTTATGACAACTTGTGGGCATGTTTCTGGTGCTGCATTCTTTTATAGACCTCCTGAAGACGCGCTACGATGGTTTGATCCGGAAACAAAGAAAGTGGTGGGCATTCCCCTCATTTCATTATCGTCTTTCTTTCGTTCATTTGCCTCAGTCTTACTAACTTTATCTCTGTTTTTTTTTTTCAAATTGCACTGAGCATGAGACTATTCAGCAAATTGCGTTCGGATATTTTCAATTTTTTCTCATTTTTTTGGTTCCATGTACTTTGCACTTTACACTGTTTCATTGACGATAAAATGTTTCGAAAATTTCGCTCACTATACGTTAGAATTATTTATCTGTGGTAGTGGAGAGCGATTAGAGTGTGATAATAATTCTGTTCCGAATCCCAAAGCACCTAGTTATGCTGCTATGACTATTCGGCATTCCACTAAAATTGCCTATGTTAATCGTGTGATGGTTTCTTTAATGTTTTCGTATGGTTTCTGCCTGATGCAGGATATTTTCGATTGTATGCAATCTTCATGCGGCACCGCTGTCATCTTGTGTGAACAACTGTATTGTATGCGTAAATAAGTTCGTCAGATTTCTTTTGAATCAAAATTGCTTGATAAAGTTTGAATGATAAAATATTAGGAGACTTTCAAAAGTCAGCTGATACATTTTCTCGATTGAATATAAATTAAGATTCATAAATGCCACTAAGCACAAAACACTATCATAAAATACACAAAATATACAAGTGTAACTTCGTAACGTTCAGACATAACACTCAATCAACAATCTGTATAGGTTCTGGCGTTGCTCTAAGTAAAAAAAGCATTGGTGATTGGTTGCTTGAATGTATTCATGAACACCTCATTTTTATTACCATCCTCCTTGAATTACAAATGTTACTGCTCGTTTTTTTCATTGTTCAACATGAGACGCATAAAAAATCATGCATACATAATTGTATATCATTATCACTGTAGTTGTAGTTAATCATGAATTTTTGCATTCGTTATCTTCATCGCTATTTTTAAATTTCTTTTCGAAAACATGTTAATGATCCAAACGCGTCACAGTGATAAGCCGAATGGCTCCATCGTAAAAATTTGATGAGTGCCAATGATGTGTACATTTTTAAAAATGGTGCTGCATTCTTGCTTACTCTTCAAGGTTGAGTGTAATCATTGATTTGTTTGCGAGTGAAAAAAACAGTTTCCGATCAGAAATCAACCGTTCGCTAAGTATTTGTGTGAATGAATTGGAATTAAAACGAAAAAATATTCTGAAAAATTTGTAGAATAACTGTGTACAGTGCAAACGTATCCATTTTTTGGATGCTGATAGTGTTCACGCAAAATTTGGGAATATTCCTTAATTTTTTCGGAAAATCTTGGAAGAAAGGAGCATTATCAAGATAATTTCATTTATAGAAACGTCGTATGGGATTGAGTCTTCATCCTAAATTCGGTGGTCATTTCGCGTATCGAGCCGTGTTGATATTTCCTGAAATTCATCTGCCAGCTGACTTCCAGGAGAACCGACCGGTGATGCGATTAGACACGATTGAGAAACAAAATGAGGCGATCACACTTTTCAACGAGCATTGGAAAGATGGTAGATTCAGGGATTGTGGCGATCCCATTGAGAGATACTCAGATTTGCAGCTGAAGTATTTCAGTGTGCCACCATTGGAGAGATGGTCAATTATTGCTGATTGGTTTAACTGACCTTTGAAGTACCTTTCTTGTACTTGTTGTTTACAATCATATCATTCAGCAGTGTTTGGGACTGAATCTCTGTGTAATGAAGATAATACAAACTCCTTCATTCGATATTTTTGTTGCATTCAAAGTGACGAATCTTCAGTGGATTTCCTCATTTTCCAAGTAGTTACCTCCATTCCATCGGCTCATCAGAGTATCGTGATAATTCATACGAACTTGCTTTTCTTCTCACACTTTATTTATGTGAATGTAAAAGTTTCTGGATGGTTATTCTCTCTCGTCTCTTTCAGGATTTTATGCACCATTCTGCATAATTTTTTGTCATCATTTTTGTTATTACTGCTATCGATAACATTATAATATTGAACTGCAATCAGTCACTGTTCATTCTAAACACATTATTATTGGCCGTAATATTTTTTGGTTCGCAAACTTTCAATTCGGATTTTTTACGCTATTACTTTTTAATGTTTGTATTTATTTTCGTCTCTCGAGTTGAAAGGTTTATGCGTCTGTGAAAAGTTAGGACTGATGACTATAGTTGTTGTCTCTTTTAATTGTTCATTAGCGGTAAGTGATTATATCATTGAATTATTTTCTCACTGTAAATCCTTATCTTCATTGTGATGTCAGTTAATTTGTTGCGAGACTCTATCAGTTTATTTGTTCATTTGTATTTCTATTCGTTTATTTATTTATCCATTTGTTTGTTGTCTTATGTCATTTGCCTAGTTCGCGTTCGTTTCAGTGCTATGAAAAGAATTTTGCTGATTTATGCGAATTTCACATTTTGTAACAACTTTCACTCACTTCGTTGATCTTCATGAATATTTTTCTACAACTTAAGAAGGGACATTTCGTATGAATGGATTTTTTTTGGTTCATATTTTTTTCGTGATTATATGTGCATACTTTTTTGACTGTGAACGATTCCATAAGAAATCTGGTATCTTGCACTGACACCATTAAATGATTATCGTTTGTTTTTGCAGAAACAAACACGAAGAGCTATGTACGCTCATGCGCTCATCATTGCGTGTTTATCTAGATTTGTATTTTGCTGATGTTACCGAGTAATCGTAAATTGAAATATTGGGTTGGTGCATAAGTTCGTGCGCTTTATCTAAGTTTTCTAAAATTTCGTTTTCAAACCACAAGCTAACCAGTCAGTCAACAATGTATTCTCCTTCGATTTCCACGACTTCATGCCATCGTTTCACCAGGTTGTCGATTCCACGACGATAGAATTCCGCTGGCTTCGAGGCGAAGAAGTCGTCTAGCCACGTTTTGACGGCATGGTCGCTGTCGAAGGGTACACCGCTGAGACTTTTCGAGAGGGAGCGGAAGAGGTGGTAGTCAGATGAAGCGAGGTCTAGCGAATACGGTGGATGAGGCAAAATTTCCCATCCAAGCTCCTCGATCGTTTTTCTGGTCAGTTTTGCCGTGTGGGGCGCGCGTTGCCATACTGCAGGATGACCTTCATCACGATATCGGGCCGTTTGTCCTGAATGGCCCGGTTGAGCCGGTTCAGTTGCTCGCTGTACAGTGCAGCATTAACTGCCTCGTCGTTCTGAAGCAGTTTGACGCGGATTCTGATGGATGAGAACATTCAGACGCCCCTCGTCGAGATCCAACATGCGACCAGAACGTCGTCCGCCCTCCACGTCGAAGTCGCCCTTCGCGACCCTCGCAAACCATTTCCGGGCTGTTCCTACTGCATCATCTCCGTATACGGCACAAATGTCACAAGCGACCGTTTAGCCTTGATTGAATGCACAAAGTAGCACCTGTCGAAAATGCGTTTTTTCGTCCACCTGATACTTCATTTCATCATGCTGAAGATCCGGACGAAACAAAACTGCAGTAGATCGTCTAACACAGTTGCGAAGAGCAGAAAATCCGCTATTGATTGGTGTATAACACTCCGAACTTTCGTCGGAATAATTCAATTTGAATAAAAGCGCACGAACTTATGCACCCAACCCGACAATTCAAAGTTCGATCGCTGCTACGAAATGATTTAAGCGCCAACCGAGAAACGTGTCCTTCACATGTGTATTCACAATGCTTCAAATCACAAATTTATCAAAGCGACATTATTATACAGCTATTTTATTGATTTTTTTCCTGAGTAACTAGTGTGAAATTTAAAAAAATCCGCTAAAAATTGCGATGGCATTGCGAACATGTATGATTTGTTTATCTATTCATAGAATCATCATTTTTGTATTTTTAAAGTAATGCCATATGTGTTGTTTTGAAAAAATCAGTGCATTGTGGCATCTAAATTCAAGAAGTTAACTGAAATATTCATGCTGAATTTTACATGTGTGTGTAGCTTTCTATAAATGCAAAAAAATTAAGGAAGGAAAAAGTTACGACAAAAATGTGCACAATATTTAACATGCGGTTTGAGAATCGCACATGAATCATTACTCATTGCCGGCACTTCGAAAGCGTGTACGCAGTTTAAAAATATTTTAATGGTGCAGGATCAGTGAAGTTGAACTGAAGCGTCGAAACTGGAAGTCGCCGAAAAGAGTTGTTACAAGAATAGAGGCTGAATATAGTTGTGACAAGTTAATAGTAATAACATCTTAACAATGGAAGAGAAAGAAACATGCGAAAGTGCTATGAATAAACTCCATGAAGTGTTTCCTGATCAAGAAGGCTTCGAGCTTCATCAGTTCAAGGTAAAATTGAATGCAATTACGGTTGAGAGTGACATTTAAGTGATGAAGTATTCATGTGTTCGTTCTTATCATTAAGCAAGCGAGAATGAGATGATTCGATGTGTTATAATCGTTTGTTCATTCCAGTTCTCGATCAGTTCATTGATTGGCTTAAGAATCGTACGATGATAAGTGGTTAATCATATCGTAAAAGCAGTTTCAAGTTCTAGATTGGTTCATATAATGAGGTAGCAGGCGCGTGTTTCCAACTTGCATATGATGAAAACGCGATGGGAGTTGTTGTTTTGAATACGCCATCGTTTTTTGAAACAACATTCAAAAAATGGATTCAAGCAAAGCACAGACCCAACGAACGTGTTGAAGAACTGGCGAAACGTTTCCCAGCTGGTCCAATTTCTGCATATTTCAATGAAAAATTCGACGTGGTCAAAGAGGTATTACGATTCTGGTGTCGAAGTATTTTTTATGTTGATTTTTAATGTTAACACTTTTTGAATTATTTTTTTCGGATACTACTGAAAGAGTTCATTGGAAGAGGGTGTCATATACCCGATGTAATCTGAATCTATTCTATCGGTAAATTGACAACTATTAGTATTGAAGTCAAAAGAAAATTCAGTTCATTTTGAGCAGAATGCATTTGAAAAGAAATGTTAAATTGCAATGTGAACGTTAGCACTACCTTTGTGAACCACTGTCCACTCGCAATCAAACATTTCTGTTTGTAAAAGTATCATCTTTTGAAGCTGTTCTCTGGATCGAGCCTTGTCGCAGTACACGATTTCGAACTGCTGCCCAATCGACGACCGAAAATCATGATGACCACTAGTGGACACGTTTCTGGTGCTGTTTTTTTCTATCACCCACCTGAAGAAGCATTCGGCATTTCCAATAAAGCACTGTTGACAAATGTTAGTCGTTCATTTGGTTGAATGTTGATCTTTTCAAAATTCACTCAGTGATACTTTCTCAAGTATTTTTACCTCTTGCGTTATTTTTCCTTACAATTAGGACTTATAAAGTAATCGTACGGATTATTGCGGCACTCAGTTAGATGATTTGCGGCACTCAGTTATATTCCAATCAATAAAATGATCATGGCAAGGAGTCTGCTGATAACTTCACCCTAAAATTTCATACATTTACATAATTCCTTGAAATCCGTTTGGTTTATCCCAGACAAATTTATCAGCACATTTGAATAGACTGAATGAGGTAATTGATGTATAAGAAACATTAACCGAGTTTCTTATAGTGCTTTCTCTGTTCATCTTTTTTATTTTCGAAATGTTTGCAGAAACGTCGAACGGGAGTTTGTTTACATCCCAAATACGGCGGTTATTTTGCTTTTCGTGGGGTGTTCGTTTTTCCGAACGTTCATTTGCCAGCCGATTTCAAGGAGAAACGAGCGCCAATGGTTTTGGACACGATAGAAAAGCAAGAAGAAGCGATTGCACTCTTCAATCATCATTGGTGGGATGGAAAGTTCAGAGATTGTGGCAATCCTGTTGAAAAATACAGTGACCTACAATTGAAATATTTCAGTACAATGCCTGAAAAACGTTGGTCAATAATTGCGCATTGGTTCCAGTAATTGTGGCTAATGAGCGTTAATGGTGCTGTCGACTGTATTAGCACTTATTCGAATAGTCAATAGTATCCAATTTCGGACACTTTCCATAAAAATTCGTACGATATACGTTCCACTTGGTGCGTCGTTGGCTAGAGGAAGAGTGAAAGCATGATTTTTTTTTCAATATGTGATAGATATTGTATTGGAAGTTATCGTAATGTTGCAAATTTCGAAACGTAAAATTTAGTCGGTGCATTGATTTTGAATTTTTTTCCTTGGCGTAATTTAGTTTGATTTTCCTTTTGACTGACCTTTGAATTGAAATTGAGAGAACTTATGCGCAATTGCAAAGCATTTTAGGCATCATGAATTGTTGTGATTTTGCAACTAATTGTGTATAATGTGCAATTTAGTTTCAGTTGTTGTACAGCGTTGTTTCTTGTGATAATTCACAGTGAGTTGATAAGTGTTGTTGTTGCGTATTTTGTTTGTTGCTTTGTTAACGATTAATGCGTTGAATTTAGTATGTTACAATTCATTATAATGCGTTGTAAATAATGTTCAAAAGTGTGCATCCGTTACGCTTTCTTCAAATAGTTTTCATTTTCGTGAAGCAAAAGGACTACTATATCACTCAAGAATAGTACGCTTCACTGCTGTGGCATCAGGTAAATGCCGACTTTTACGGCAGATCGATTCGCGTGATAGAATCATTTAAGGTTTTAGATCGACCGTTTTTAGGGTTATTCAACGAGTAATGAACATAGAACTACGCGACAGGATGAATGAAGTTACTTTCATGAAACGTATCCAACATCTTCGAACGTATACACTGAGATTTTATTGTTAACTAAATGAATTGCGGTTTTTTTTTTCGAAGTACTATCAAATTGCAGTGCCTCATTTTTCGATTATGCATATCGACTGAAAAGTTCAGCATTGCCATTAGTGGCTAATTATGCTTGATCAATTTCTTACGCTTAATTTTCTTCTTGCATTCAATTGATCATCTTACACGTATGCGTATGGATGTTATTCCAAGGCTTCGTTTCGTTCTAAAGTCTACTTTGTTAATCACTGATCGTGGGAGTTCGCGATGTGTTTTCATTTGTAGCATCCCTGTACGTTTAGTTAGCTCATTTTGGGATGTTGAAGTAGTAGGTTAGAACGAATTCACTCATTGTCAGTTGAAGGGCGTCTGCGTAATTTCATTACAATATGCTTTTTAAACATGCTAAGAAAATGACTAGGCTTCCATTGATTGTCCATTCGACGTGTAATCGAGGCGAGGATCGGCGGTAATTGCTTGTAAGTGCCTCAAACTAAGGTCTTTGACCATTTCTAAGTTTCAGAGATCATGCACCATTTTGTGAGCTACTTAGAAATGGCAACAAAAATTTGCGATTGAAGCGATTAAGTTTTATTTACTCACGATTTTTGAGATCAGCGTTCGTTTTCTTCGTTCATATCTCAATGATTCTATAAATGGATCAGAAGTATACGAAGATCAGGATTGATTTAGCGCGTTAGTTGTGATATTTTCAATTAGTTTTTTTATTTATCTTTCGCATTCTGAGAGTATATAACGCATGTATATATGCGCTGTGGCGGAAGCATTTGGATGACGTTTCATTTGCTGCTTTTAACATTTAATTCTCTTGATTTTGTTTTCTTAAAGTGAAGAGTTTTGGTATTTCAGAAATCTCATAGTTACGCGACTATGACACAGTTAAGAAGATTTTTGTTCTTATTTTTGAGATAATTGGTCATATTCCAAGGTGAACACTCTTTGAAATCTAGATGTTCTTCACTCTCTTACACACTAATGTTGCCCATTGATTCGTTCATTTTTTTGTTTCAGCATTTAAAAAATTTCACATGTTTATTCAGTGACTCATTAATGCGTAGGGATAGGCACACAGTTAAGCTGATACTCGCTTGACAGTTCCGCCGGTTTGTCAATTTCAAGCGAGTCTTGTCAACCATTTTCCTTCATTTATTGTTCAGGGATTTCCTCGTGAATCAACGAAATGTTTACATTGTTATCGCCATATTTGTTTCTTTCCATTCAGCACGATGAATTCGATATTTGTTTTTTCTTAGCACGTTTCAACCGGAAATCGCTGTTTAGTGTTCAGATAAATTGAATTGTAAGCCAGCTGAATGAGCAGAAGGTTATCAAAATGAAGCAACTACGCTTTTCAGTGGAATTCACAAGAACGTTTGATCGTTTCTGAGGATGTGTGTTATTGAATCATGAAAGGGAGTTGCAAAAAAAACATTTCATTAATATGTGCAAGTAATATCAAAGTTCTTTCTATGTTTTCTGTTGCAATTGGTTTTGAATGTTTTATTGCTCTAAGCACAATGCACTCCTTTGAGAAACTGTTATATTGTTGAGTGTTTAACTAATGGTTTGCCGCATATTGAGCTTCACGTGGAAATTTTCTCTCTGCAAATATCAGCGCTCTTAGCGACACATTCGAGCGACTTTCAGATTTCTCGTTTGGAAGGTTTCCCTGGTGATTTTCAGATATTGCACGTTTTGTGGTTTAAGGATTGTTTGGCCTCACATTTCCACTTTCAGTTGATTTGGAATGTGCGAGAAGACAAGTTGGTTGAGTTGATTGCGTGCACCACTTCATTGTATCATTACTTTATCACGCGATAATTGGCACGCACGATGAATGAATTCTCCTGTTATTTGCTCGTTGTTGTTCGTCTTGATCAAGAAACATTTCTAAACTGGTCGTTCATGTATCAAAATTATCTCACGAACATCCGGAAATAAACTCAAAATTACGTCGATACCATTGCCTAGATGAATAAAAGAACGAAAAAATCAGTCAAATGCATCATCCTATAGGTATTTGATAAGTTACATCATTTCATCGATTGTTTCCGTTTAATCGAATCACCAAGTTAGTGTCATTCGCATATTGAGAAATCTTTTGCATCGAGTCAGTTAGGATTTTGCAAAATCATCTCAACGGAAATACAATTTTCAAATAGTACATTTCATGAAATCTGTTTCATCCTTGAGTCTGCTTTTAAAGTAATCCGAAAATGATCTACTTTCCAAATATCATTGTTATTGTCAACCAGGGAATAGTGATGCATCCTATGATCAAATTTCATGTTGATGCTTTTAGATTTTGTTTTTATAAATTTGTTTTTGTACATCGGAAGCACGGTTTTTGTTTTGAACAGGTTAGAGTTATATAAAGGGCGGAATTTTTCGTCTGAATTAGGTGATTAATTGGGCTGACTGGAAGTGGTGACATTCTGTTGTGTGATGGGCAGTGATGAAATTAGAATGAATTGCACTTTCCATAATAATAATCCAAAAATGTTTCGTCGAGAAACGAAACAAAGAACGTTCGAAGGTACTGCTAGTGGCCATCGTCTTTAAACCGACCGACTGCTATTATAATTATAATATCATTCATTCACTGAACGAAGTGCATTCTTTCGATCGTTATGATCCGATGAATTTCGGTCGGATTCCGAAATTCGGATTCAAACCGAAGAGTCCGATCAAAACACTCATTTCTGGAATATCAAAGAATAGATTCGGTCGGATTCTAATCGAAAATTTTGAAATTCGGTTGCAATACTGAATTTCGAAATCTCAGAAAGTTAATGCGGAATGCAAGTTTCGTGCGGTTGCATCAATATCTTCGGTATTGCTTCGACCTATTTTTAGTGAGGTTATTGGGACGATTGTTTAATGTTATCGTTGACTTTGTATTGTCAGAACATATTTTTTGATGGCGAGTTGTTGTAATATGTGCGTGTTAATCACAGGACATTATAAAATGTTTTGTGAACAACTCTACTTCAGTAACACTCTATGTTTCTGAATGATCCCCTCCAATCTCAGTAACGATAATGAATTCCCGTGGTTTTTAAACCTTAGATTGCATAATTTGTTGTTTAATTTATCAGTAAGGTACTTGATAGTATACAGTAATGTGAGGAGAGCAGAAATGAAATTATGTCAAATACATTGTTAATTTTTACAGTATTTGCGATGATTTTGACAAGTTTAACAACGGTTTATGTAATTATAGCAATCATTATGATGATTATGATCCAGCTGATGAATGAGTAATGGATAATAATAGTGAGGACGAAAAAAAATTGAGATTGATTATGGGATGAAGATGGACGTGTGTATGGTTGTAATTTGATGGTTTTTTTTTGTCATGAATGTTAGTTAAGCATAAAAGTGTAAATGAAGCTGGAATCGATAGTTAGCTGATTTGTTAGGAATAAATTAGGCGGGCATTTATGTCACATTTACGTTCTGAGGCAACTTCTCGTGAGGAATGAACAAGTTCCAGCGAGAATGAATACGCGATAAAGAACGAAACGTAATCAAACGTAAACATACATTGAGCGTTATCTTTCGAAAAGAATGATTATCGACTTCAGGTGGTGACATATGAGTTTGGTGATATACATTTAGTTGCAAATTTATTATCCTCAAGCTCACACTCAGTAATGAAGTGTATTCCGAACAATGGGGTATATGTTCTGATAACAATATCTCAAAATTTAGATTGATATTTTCAGAATTCGTGCGAACTCTAGTAGGTTGTGATTCGAACATGTGATCCGATTGATGTGATGCATGAAAACTGAGAATCACAGCTGTCTTCACCTTCTCTGACGGTAAATACTTTCCCTCTATCACATTTTAGCTTCTCAGTGATTCGACTCTACGAGTGAATAATACTTCTAATTGATTATTCTAGACTGATTGATGAAACCGACTGCTTCATTATTCGTATATGAAGCGAACAACAAATCTTCTAATTGAGGCTTCTTTCGAAAAATAATACCTCAAGTGTTCCTGTGCAATCGAATACTTCATATCGTGGTTGTCATAGGGACTAATTTTTCTGTCCCGATCTCGGTGGAGACAGCAGAAGTTTGTCTACGTCCCTGCGGAGACGGATTTCCCAAGTAAATTACTAAAAAAAACCATTATTACTTTATAGCATGCATAAAAATGT